GTTTTTAGTAATGGTGAATAGCAACTTAAAAACAAAAATTAGGCACGATGAAACAATTTTTAATTTCTTAATAAATGATCATTTATATTTGTAATCTTACTGTTTTAAAGATAGATTTAATGTCCTTTACCTCTTTTTAAAAAATTACTGATTTTAGAGAGAGAGAAGAAGGTGGAGAGAGAGAAACATCCATTTATTGTTCCACTTATTTATGATTCATTGGTTGCTTCTCATATGCGCCCTGAGCAGAGATCAAACCTACAACCTTGCCATATTGGGACAATGCTCTAAGCAAGTTAGCTACGTGACCAGGTTATAATTTTTAAAAAGGCACCAGTACAGTATACTCTCACCAGTAGCGTATGTAAGGAGTTCCTTTCTCAGCTCCTTTGCCAACTCTGTATACTACCTATATCTTTAAAATGTTTTATACTGTCAACCTAAATAAAGAGGTAAATTTGAATTACAAAAAATTCAGTTTATTCAGGAATGGCAGAGGAATTACAGCTCGAGAAACACAGGCGATTCCGCTGAGAGCTTAGGGTGGGTTGTATTTATGGACGAGCAGTATAATGGGAGGGAAGTCCAGCCAGCATCCAAGCAGTGAGATCATTGGCTTGAGTATGGGGGATTCTTGGCAGATGTCAGAAGGCAAGTCTCTGTCTACTGTAAAATGAAGTATTTTGCAGGAAATCAGTATCTCAGTTAAGTTCTGTTCTTCCAAGGGTGCATGCGAGATTCTCCATTTCATATCCTCCAGTTTCATTTTAGATTAAAACACCTTCACAACCTGTATAGCTTTGTAAAAGATTTCACTTTTTTATTTTTAGGGGGGGGGGCGGGAGAGAGAAACATCAATTGGGTTGCCTCTCCTATGCACCCTGACCAGGGAATGAGTTAGAAACCCAGGCATGTGCCCTGACTGGAATCAAACCAGCGATCGTTTGCTTTGCAGGATGACATGCAACTAACTGAGACACACCAGTGTTAGGGTCAGTATAGTTTTTTATAGAGGAGGAAGCTTGTCTTCTTTTTTCTTTTTGATTAATAGACTTTATTATTTTTTAAGAATATTCTTTTTATTCTGCAAGCTTTATTATCTCTGCATCAGTCTGCTTGAAGTTCATTGAGTACTCTAAATAATTAATCATTAATCTTTTTTTTTTTAAATCTCTATACCCTTGCCCACGTCCCCCAGCCCCTTCTGGTAATCACCATGCTGTTGTCTGTGTTTGTTTTAGCAGTTTTAGGGTTAGAAAAAAACTGAGTGGAGAGTACAGAGAAATCTCAAAAATGAATAAATAAAATTTTCTTTACTGCCCCCCACATACACACACATACTTTCCCCCATTATTTATGTCTTGCATAACTGTGGCACATTTGTTACTTCGTGAGCTATTATTGATACATTATTATTAACTAAAGTCCATAGTTTACATTAGGGAGCAATCACTCTGTGTGTGGTACATTCTATGGGCTTGAACGAATGTGTAACAACATAGATACACCATTGCAGTATACATAGAATCGTTGTACTGCATTAAACATCTCGTGTGCTCCATCTATTCCTCCCTCTCCCACAAGCCCCTGACAAACACTAATCTTTTTTACCGTCTCCACTGTTTTGCTTTTCCCAGAATGAGTCATGTAGTTGGAATCCTATGGAATATAGCCTTTTCGGATTGGCTCCTTTCATTAGAGACATGCACTTGAGTTTCCTCCATGTCTTCTTGTACCTTGGTAGTTCATTTCTTTTTATTGGTGAACAGTATTTCATTGTATCGATGTACCACCATTTGTTTCTTCATTCATCTATTAAAAGTTACCTTGGTTATTCCCAAGTTTTGGCAATTATAAATAAGTCTGCTATAAACATCTACATGCAGGTTTTTTGTGTGGACATAAATTTTCAACTCCTATGAGTTAATACAAAGGAATGCAATCGCTGGATCATGTGGTCTAAGAGTATGCCAAACTGTCTTCCAAAGTGGCTGTACCATTTGGTGTTCCCACTAACAGTGCATGAGAGTTCCTATTGCCCTACATCTTCATCAATATTTGGGATCAGTGTTTTCGATTTTAGTCATTCTAGTAGGTGTGTTGTTTTAATTTCTTAATCCCAGATGACATATGATATTGAGCATCTTTCCATGAGATTCTTTGCAATGAGGTGTCCAATCTTATGCCTGTTTTTAAGTTGAATTGTTTGTTTTCCTATTGTTGAGGTTTAGGATTTATGTATTCTGGATACCAGTCCTTAATGAAGTATGTGCTATGCAGAGATTTTTTTCCTCACAATCTATGGTTTGTCTTTTCATTCTCTTAACAACGTACTTTTAAAAAATCAATTCATTTGAAACAAATTTATGGGTACCTACTATGGACAAGATACCGAGGATTAAAAAAATAAATAAGACACCCATTAGATCTGTAGGGATCTCACAGTCTAGAGGGAGAAATTGACCCATAAGAAGCCAGTACAAACATGTCATAGTGGCTGCTATACTCAGGTACATGTAACATAGATTGCGGAACCAGGGACAGAATAGTCAACAGTACCTGCTGCGGGTCAGAGAGCGATTCACAGAGGAATAGACAACTTATATAAATGCAGTAAGTTTGGCATGTTGAGAGTGTAGTGTTTTAAGGAGGGAACAGTCAGATGATGTGGCTAGGAGAAGCAGGAGACAGATCGCTGAGATTTTAATTAGATAAGCATACATGGTCAGATTTGGATTTTAGAAAAATTACTTTGGCATCAGAGTGAAGGTGATTTGGGAAAAGGTAAACTGCGAGATCAGGTAGGAGATAAAGAGTGCCCAAACTTAAGTATGGCCATGGTTTAGGCTGGAGGTAATTCGAAGAAGGGGGTATCATCAGGTCTTACTAAGGGGTACGGGAGGGAGAGAGAGGAAACAAGTTTGTAATCAACAATCACTCGTCTTTTTTTGCTTCTCCTGGATGCATTTTGCTATACGTGTGGAGTCATATGTTGTTCCAGTAGAAATGATGGGGGAACTCAAGAGTTGGAAAATTTTTAGTTTTAAGTGATCAGTAATAAGCTTAGTAATTAGTGCTTGTAAAAAGCTGCTCTTTCAGGAACTGGAGGTATGACCTGTCCTGACTCCAGAAGACCCACAAGCCATTCGACCTTTGTGTCCCAGGAGGACTGCCAGGGAGTGAGATGGTCTCTGAGGCACTGTGCTCCGGGGAGGGACATCTGTAGCCCAGGACACAGATAAGATGAGAGGATGGTAGGAAAATTGCAGGACTGCTATTTTTATCTGATTAACCTTTTCCCGGAATTCCAAACCCTTACTTACTTTTTTCCTGAATTTCAAACTCCTTACCTACATTATTCTTCTCATAAAAAATGTTGTCTTGAGATGAAATATAAGATACTCTTTTAGGGTACAAAACCCACCATCGTCTCATATCTCCTGCCATCTGAATAAAGCGCCCATAACATTCAATCCTTGTTTCTACCTATTGGTCTTGGTAGTGAAACGCATCGTGAACACCGACTTTTCTAATTTCAGTAAGAGTTTTTAAATTTCATGTATATCCTTAATTTTAGATAATTGCCTTTAGACAATACAGATTATAAACTGTGGAAATGAGTTCAGATTCCCAAGCCCAGTTTATGAAGCTTATAGACCAATTTTTGAATGGTCTGGAACTAAGGTGTGTTTATGCGATTTAATAATTTCAATTATAAACATACATACAGGGGCGTATGTCAGAGGTCATGATGTAAAATGTATTTTTTTTCCTGTAGGTAGTAGTGAATAAAGTTGCAATAATGTTACTACATCTACAGTGTTAGATCACAAAAATTCTCCATTATATACATGATACATACACTTCAGTGGTACCTGACTTTTAGGCTATCTCTCAACTCACTGGTCTCAGAAAATTCATTCATTTTATGATTTGTATTATTGTCAATCATTCTGACAAAATATAGCAACATTTCTCAATTCCCCTTCTGGGTGTATAGCCTAAGAAACCCAAAACAGCTACTTGAAAGAATATATGCACTCCTATTGCATATCATTGTACTGTTCATTGTAGTTACTTACAATAGCCAAGACATGGGAGCATCCTAAGTGTTCATCACTAGAAGAGTAGATAAAACAGCTGTGGTACAGCCCTGACTGGTGTGGCTGCATGGGTTGGGCATCATACTGCACACCAAAAGGTCACCAGTTTGATTCCTGGTCAGGGCACATGCCTGGGTAGTGGGCCAGGTCCCCGGTTGGGGGCAACTGCTCAATGTTTCTCTCCCTCTCTTTCTCCCTCACTTCCTCTCTCTCTAAAATTAAAATCTTCTAAAGAATTTTTCAAAGCTGTGGCACATAGATACAATGGGATATTACTTGACCATAAAAAAGAATGAAATCTTACTTTTTGAGACAGCATGGATGGACTTAGAGGGTATTATGCAAGTGAAATAAATCAGTCAGAAAAGGACAAATACTACACGATTTCACTTATATGTGGAATCTACAGAACAACATAAACAAACAAAACAGAAACAGACTCAACAATATAGAAAACCAGCCAATGGCTGCCAGAGGTGAGAGGAGTTAGGAGACTAGGCAAAAAAGGTGAAGGGATTAAGAACAAATTGGTAGTTACAAAATAGTCAAGGGGATGTAAATAAAGTACAGCATAGGGAATATAGTCAATAATTATTGTAGTAACTATGTATGGTTTTAGGTGGATACTGGAAATATCAAGGGCAACACTTTGTAAAGTATATAACTGTCTAACCACTGTGCTGTACAAAACACTGAGTATAAACTGTAAGTGAAACACACACAGTTTTGGCTGATGAAAATTCTACCCTGCTACCAGTAGTTGAACCAGTAGCAACCCCTGGATGGTCATTCCCTCCCAGTGATGGAAAAAGTAACACAGCATTTGCTCACCTTTAAGTTTTGCGTATGGCTTAAGGGCTTAGGTAAAAAAAGAAAAATCTAGGAGAGAACATAAATTTTAACACTGAGGATGCTTTTTACTTTTTTGTTGTCCACATTTAATGGAATCTTCTACAACAGCCATGGGTTACATTAGTGAAATCAGTGAAAAAATAACTTATTCATAAAAGTTACCTAAAATAGCTCTGACTGGTGTGGCTCAGTGGATTGAGTGCCAGCCTGTGAACCAAAGGGCCACCACTTCAATTCCCAGTCAGGGCACATGCCTGGGTTGCAGGCCAGGTCCCCAGTAGGGGGCACTTGAGAGGCAACCACACATTGATGTCTTTCTCCATCCCTTCCCCTCTAAAAAGGAATAACATCTTAAAAGAAACAAGTTACCTAAAATATATCATTAATACCAATGATATGAATTTGATATTATTCAGGGGAAACTCATTTACATAAGATTAGTAAACACTAGAATCTGACCTTGTACCTCTCATGTCAACTATAGACTAATGCATTACAACTTGGGAGAATCTCCCTTCTGGGCACCTGCATGATGTGTGCAGAAGAAGGTCAGAATTTGCTTCCAAGCATCTACCTGGGCCCTAGAATGAGCCCTGGGCTCCCCACCCCAGATCACAGGCTTTTTTACTAATACGTGCAGGGAAGCTGGGCACATGGGGAAGTAAGGAGGCTCTATATAATGCCCAGTCCCAGAGTAAGAGATGATCTGGGGTTTTTCCTTTCCATGGGCCTGTAACCGTTCAGAGGCTATTTGGGCATACAACTCACTCCTCCAGTTATGATCATCCTGACCAACAATGAAGAGGATAGGTCCCTGGGCCTTCTCTATCGGAATCATGCAGGGGTTTTCATACCCTCCTACAGTATCATTCCCTATATCCACAATGTCCAGGGCGCCTGAGAAAGATATCTTGATTCTCCTCAGGTCGTAGCCCAGTGGTGGGATGCAAGTCTCCTTGTAACGTATGGTTGTGTTTCCACTAAACCCAGATCCATTGATGGAAACTGTAGCTGAGATGTTCTTCAAAAATGAGGCCATGGAGAGACAAATACTAGCCCCTAAAGAGGTGCCTACAAGGCCAATGCCTGGGCCCTTTACCTGTAAGAAGAGAAGGGAGAAGAGTGAAGGGTCAAGCACCTACCACATAGAAAAATGTTTTTCTAATTGCAACGAGATATGCCTCTAGCTATAATTTATGAACTGGGCACAAAAGAATCAAACTACGCTGACAGGAGTTTCTTTTCACATTGTAAAGAATATCTGGTTGGACACACAGCAAATACATCTGAACAAATACTCTGTTGTCAGGAAAAGATCAAAAAACAAGTATGCAAAGCTAACAAATTAGAAGCTCCATAACAAAAGAAATTTCGGTATTATTACATATTTCCTATAAATAAAATCTCACATGTATTTTATGAATTAGTCTGCATCATCAATCCACCTGACCGAAAAAATGGAACTAGGCACATAAAGTCAAGGACATCCCCAAAAGAAATCACTGTGAAAGAACAGCACAGCAGTACTTGGCACAAGTGAGAGCATAGTGACACCCTCCGGAGATATATCTAGAGAGCAAGAGACAATAAAGGACATTAGGAGAACCTGGGAGTGTTGAAGCATGTAGCACAGGGCCTCTTCAAAGTAGTCCATATTTATGTTGTCAGCATCCTTGGGGAGATCTTCAAAGCCATAGTAAGCTAGAGCCAATGTGGCAAAGCCATGGCCAGCCAGAAGGCTGGCTCGATATTCCAACAGGCCCCCTCCAGTACCAAAGAGATCAATGATCCCTGGGAAAGGTCCAGGTCCTAGAGAAGGGAATATTATAAAAGGAAATTATCATAAAATTTAAAGATTTTCCTTTCCTTTTAGAGATCTAATTTAGTGGGTTCCTGTGAATCATAGGGAAGAAAACATCTCCCTGAGTCACTATTGAAAAGGAAAATAAGTTCCTTAGAGAAGAAAAATCTACAAGGTACCTTCTCATTCATGAGGGTACCTGCAGCAACTCGGGCTCACCTGGCGGCAGGAAGAGCGTGGCGCGCACCCGGCCCGCGCGCACCGGCTGCCGCCGCACCCCGGGTGCAAGGAAGTCGCGCTCGTGCACGACCTGGCCTAGGAGGTGTCCTCCCTCGGGCTCGTGGCCGTCCAGCACCTCCAGGTCCACGACGAAGGGCGTCTGCACGTCCCGCTTCAGAAACCGCCAGAAAGGCTTCTCGGGCTCCAGGGCCCACAGGAGCCCCATGGGCTCGAGCCCCGCGAAGCTGCCGCCCAGGGCCGGCGCCCGCGACAGGTCCACCTCGCCGCCGGCGTCGGCGCAGTAGCGCGCGTGGGCGCGGAAGAGCACGCCCTTCTCGTCGCGCAGGGACGCTCGCAGCGTGACCGGCTGCTGCGGGGCCAGGCCGCGCACGATGATGCGCACGGGCTCGTCCCAGAGGCAGCGGCTCGCTGGCTCCACGGTCATCGTCGCCGTCGTCCGGGCAGGAGCCCAAGAGACCAGGCTAACTGGCCTCACCTTTGGAGAACTCGGCAGCAGCGCCCAGCTCCTCGGGCACCATTGGCAGAGTCCGGACGCTCGCAGGACAGCGGGAGATGAGGCCATCGTGTTGCGACTGGATTTCAGAATTCGGATCAGCTGCACAGGGCTGTGGAGAAAGTTAGAACTGGTTGGAGAGCCTCTAATGGTAGGCCGCACAACTGCAGGCTAAGAGCCCGACAGGGCAGAGCAGCCGGCTAAGTTGAGTTTAGAGGGCAGAGTCCTGCCAATCAGTAGCAAAAGCGAACGGACACCCCTGAATTTACGCACAGCCTCCTCGCCTAAAACCTTCCACTTAATTTGGGAGAGAATCCCCCAATTCTGCCTCTTAAAAGCTCTTCAGCTGGTGCAAGGGGCTGGACCAGGGTTGCCACTGGAGGCCTTGGCACACAGTGATCTCCGGTCTGCCTCCAAGGCAGTCGCAATGACTAAGCAGCTCAGGAAAAATTGAGTTTTATCACTTTGGTGATAATAATAATAGATCTTTTCTTTGAAAGTGTGCATAATGGTATTTTGTTTGCATTATTTGTGAGTATTCCTCTACACCATGCCACATCTAAAGAGCCTGGTATATTTGTGTGACCTCAACTTCGTTCCTTTTAGGGGTAAAAACAGCCAAATGAGATACTAGTTATTTTTTTGTTATATACTGGACTCTCATTGTTCATTTAGGCAAATGGCATCTCCTTTTCATCCTGGACTTTTTCACTTTTTCCTACTTTTTCATAAATTATGGGTTTTATCATGTGGTGGGTTTTTTTCATCAAAGTTCAATTCAAGCCTCTTTCAAGACCTTACGCTTGATTTTATATTCATAATTTCATATTCTTTTCATTAGAGAAATCTGAAAATTGTTCCTTTGGCAAAAGAGCTCACAAAGAATATAAATTAATAAATAACTGAAAATACCCCTTACTTAACTCCCATGATCCCGTGAGTAGTCTCAGGGAACTCTAAAGAGGAGGTTGCCTAGTAACCAATGCAAATAGTTTTGGAACCCAGGGAACTGAGAAAGGTTCAAGACGTGGAAACTTGCTTTCCTTTGAAGACTGTTGTGGGAGACCATTTTGAAGGTAATTTCAAAACATTGCTGCTTTACCTGTGTCTGAAAGGAGCTTATTAGTTCAGCTGAGGGATGAGTGGCAGTCTCAAGTACTGATGAAAAGATTTTGGATTAGGTTTCAAAAGGGTCAGTATTGCCTCAGGTGCTAACCCGTATTGTGATCTTAGTCATGTCTCTTCCCGCTGGGCCTCAGTTTTGAAATCTGTAAATAAAAAGAGTAGGAACAGATCTTTACAGTAGAGTTTCCTGAGTCATGTCTGAGTTAGCAGTCTATCTGTGTGAGTGCATGGCAAGGAATGGAAATTAGAAAGTAGAGGGAGAAAAATGAAGGAAACGTTCTGATGAGGAAGAGGCATCAGAGAGAGGGGATTTGAAACAAGTCAGGCTGAGAGGCTGTGGTCCCCAGTCCTGCTCTCCCACCAAGCTTCCTTCCTCCTTCCCACAGATACCTCTTGGGGCTGTGGTTTCCTTAACATGTATTAAAACCTCTCAGAGCTTGTTGAAATGCAGTTTTCTAGGCCTCACTTGCAGCCTACTTAATAAAATATTCACTAAAAAAATTTTACTGATTGATTTTTAGAGAGAGAGGTAGGGAGGGAGAGAAAAAGACATCAATTTGTTGTTTCATGTATTTTTTCATTCATTGGTTGATTCCTGTGTGTGCCCTGACCAGGCATAGAACCCGCAACCTTGGCAGATTGGGACACCACTCTAACCAATCGGGCTACCAAGCCAGGGCTAAAATATTCATTTTAACAAGCTTCTCAGGTGATCTGATGCAGAGGGTCCTTTAGCAATATCTAACACTCTCAGGAGTTGACTGTGCCATCTTGGGCGCTACCTCACAACCTCAGAATCTGTGGATGGAGGTGAGGCTGTATCACTTCTTAAAAGCTTTCAAAAGTGAACTGTGCTAAGGTTTATTGCTTTTTAGCCTTCCCTTCCGTGGCAGTTTCTACTCTCTAATAACAAAAGGAAAAAAGCTAGATATTACTCTTTTTAGCACACATTACTCAGCCCACTTCACCTATTTCTGCGGAATAATGGTACCAGCTTAGGGGGCGAGGGTAGGGAAATGGGAAGGTGAATAGAGAGTGGCACTAAATTTGGAGCCTCTGAGATACCACCATTTGGAGTCTGGTTTCTTATGTCAGGTTTTAACAGGAAGCATGTGCTTAACCCTTCCAACCACACACCTGCCTGTCCACCCAGGCTCCTTAAAAGTGCAAGGAGAATGCTAGTGATTGCTACTTACCAGATTGCAGGGCCTTGTCTGCAATTTGCCAGGTTTGAGTAATTGCAGGATTTATTCAACTTCTCATGCTGTCAGTGCACAAAAGCACCTGAGACCTGCCACTATGCTCTTGGTTCTTAAGGGCTGTTTGTTGGGAGAGAGGACCCTGCCTCACAATGACAGTCCAAGTACAATTTCAGTTTGGACAATATGTATATGGAGCCTCCAAACTCCATTCCTAGACCTTTTCTTTTCTCTCTGTGCACCCTCTCTTTTAACTGCCTTGGCCCCGAAACTGTTCCCTCAGTATCCAGCACATCTGACTGTGCCTTCCCTGGACGATAGTCCACGCTCCAAATCATTCACCCAAGAGAACATGGCTGGGAAGTACAGAACCTGGCCTTACGCTTCTGACTCTAAATCCACTCAGGACAAGCTTCTTTTGATCAAATCTTACTACATTTTATCCTGTCCCCATCCCCTTTCAAAACATGTCTATCATGCGTTTTCTTCCTTTTCAACAAGCCATTATATTAGATGATAATAACTATTCCTTGATAATTATAATAATTTATTAATAATGATATTAATTATTATAAACCCAGATTTTTTCCTGGAATGTTGACATCATAACCAAAGATTCTTTTTTTTCTTTTTTTTAAAGTCTCACCAAAGGACCTTTTCTTATTGCTGTTTAGAAAGAGAGGAAGGGAGAAGGAGAAGCATTGATTAGGAACCTCCTATACGCGCCCAGACTGGGGATCAAACCCGCAACCTAGGTATATGCCCTGCCTGGGAATTGAACCCAAAACCTTTCAGTTATGGGACAACGCTCTCACCAATCAAGCAACACTGGCCAGAGCTAACCAAAGATTCTGTATGTCACAGACTAATGGGCATACATCGGGATAACCCGTATCATTACATATCGGTAGTCGTCTTGGGGTGAAACCAGTCCCCATCCTGTTTTTCCAGTTTTAGGATCAAACTCCCCTTGTCTTAGGAGCAAGTCATTGGCACACTGATGAGAACTATAAAATATTTGATTAGGCAATCAATACACACGGCAGGAGAGTACTAATATTGTTTTCATCCAACTGTTCATTTTCAACCAGTGAAAGTAGGTACTGTTTCAGGAAAAGTATCACCATCTTCCACCCTTGCCCTAACTTTTCTAGTCTACCTTTTAAAATACTGAGTGCCAGTGTAGCCATGTTGCCTTCATGATTGTGAAGAGATAGAACAACCAAATTTCATCTTATGTGCAAAACATCCTTGAGGGATATCATATCAATCATGTGTGACTTAATTCAGGTGAGGTTATCAATTCTGGTCTAGTGACATCTAGATAATAGCTGGCCCTTAACCTGCCCTGGCTGGTGTGGCTCAGTGGATTGAGCGCCAGCCTGCTAACCAAAGGGCTGCCGGTTCCACTCCCGGCGAGGGCACGTGTCTGGGTTGAGGGCCAGGTCCCCAGTAGGGGACGCATGAGAGGCAACCACACACTGATGTTTTTCTCCCTTCCCCTCTGTCTTAAAAAAAAAAAATATATATATATATATATATATATACACACATATACATATATACATATATATATATACACATATACATATATATATAGTAAAAGCTGGCATTTATGAGAAAGAAACCCACCAAGAGATGAGATTTAAGACACAGAAGAGAGTCGGATAAGTCAAGCCCTAAGGAGAGAAGGTACTGTGCTGAGTGGTATAAAGGAAAGAGAAATAAGTCATATCTGAGCTAAGGGGCACCTCGTGAATAGGGCAGACAAGGCGGGAATTGGTACTAAGCATAACAGGACACAGAATAATGATCTCATTGTGCACTGTGATTCTGAAGGATAGCAAAGACAAGAGACATGGCCCTTGGGCAATGCAGTTAGAGAGCCACAGATTTAACATATTTAATAATGTGAGGTGTTGCAGGATTAAAAGTTAAAATAACTGGTATGGACTAGTAGTAATTTATAAGTTCACGTATGACATGGATCCTAGATAGGTAGGAAGAATTGTGGAGAAGGCAGAAATTGAGCTGGGCCTGGGAGAATGGATAGAATTTGTGTCAAGTATGGAAGAAAGGCTCTTTCATATAGAGGGCACTGATGAAAGCTCCATTTTGTGAAGGGAGACATACTTGGAAAAGAGCTAGGACACTCAAGGGGTTACATGTCAGGACATGGTCATTAATTGGGGTCACAGTCATGGAGAACTCTGAGTGCCAGACTGAGTTGTCTGAACTTTATGCTATAAGCCTTTGAACAGAGAGAAAGAAATATCTGAGGAAAAACTAGAAGCACAGGATACTGTTGAGAAACAGTAATCCTTAATAAAGAGACAGGGGCTTAGCTTTGGGGACAAGTATGAGATTGGAAGCAAGGGTCAGATACAAGGAATATTGAGAATGTTGCCCCTTTTCTTTCTTTTGTCCTCCTAATTCTCTTGAATTTCCCCCTCCTCCCTTCTATCTTCCAAGTTCTTTTCTCTCTCTATTGCTATGGGTTACCAATTTCTGCTGACCTAGAGCTCTCACCAGTTCCTCTCATCCCTTTAGCAGGTCACGCTTCCAGGCACTGCCTGTGGACCAGGCAGAATGGAAGGAAGCATTTGCCGGGAAACAATGACTAGGAACCAAAAGGGAAACATCTTTCACCCCCACAGCTTCCATCAGTCGCTGCCCCCACGGCTGGGATGGGGCATGATTTTCTCCTACGTAAAACCGACAAACAAGGAGTGCACCTCTGTCTCCAACGTGCCACCAGTCTTTCACTTCAGCCCCCAGCACTGTGCACACCTCAAGAACCAATATTTGAAAACAGCTGCTTCAAACCTTACTTTCTCGCAAGAGGTAGTGTGGCAGCGAGGGCTACCCAGCATTCCTTACGGCCAATACAGCTTTGACCACCTTTACAACACGGACAACATCATCCAACCTCCCCACACCAGAAAGGCCCGACCTGAGAAACCTGTCAGCTTCAAGTTCTTGGATTCTTCAGGTCCCTCAGCAAGGGTCACCTCCCAGGCTGTGAAAACAGTAAGCTTTAACAATCTTAAGAAGAAGCTAAAGAAATCAAAGTCAGAAAGCACAGTCCAGGAAACATCTTGCCCTCTCATTCATCCCTGCAGGGATCCAGACAGACTGAGTCTGTCACTTTCTCCAGATGTGAACCTGGAGGAGAGGGAAGCCTGGCTTCCACCCCATGAGAAGGAGGCCAGAGCCTGGGAGGCCATCGTGCTGGAAAAGCTGAACAAGCGCACTGCCCGGTGGATCCAGAATAAGCGTCCTTTAAGGCCTGGGGCATCCCCCAACAAGTGGCAGAACTTCTTACGCCAGCAATACGACTGGAGCCACATCCGGGATGAGCTCACCTCCACCAGCGACCTAGAGCTCTTGAAACAGCTGGAAGAAGAAGAGAGAGCAGATTTTGAGGGTCGAAGTATCATCCTTCCCACCCAGGAAGGAAAGGAGCCAGAGCTGCTGCTTCCTGTTTATTACAGGTAGACTGGCTGGGCCTTGGACATGCCTTTGAGAATCCCTGACTTCCCTTCGAGGATTCCTGGGTGGGCTTACACTCTCACATCAACCTCTTGTGTTTCCTACTGCCAACCTGTTCTTTAGGTCTCCATAAAGTAAGGTTTTTCATCCTTGGCACTGACATTCTGAGTTGGGTAATGCAATACACAGGGGGCTGCCCTGTGTGTTGCAAGAGGTTTAGCAGCATTCCTCTGGATGCCACTAGTACTCTCCAGACACTGACACACGTCGCCTTAAGGGACAAAATCACCTCCCATGGAGAACCACTGTCTTTAAAAGTATTGGTTCTCGGCCTTTCCCTTTTTGCTGATCCAGTTACTATCCAGGTGCTCCCAGAAATGAATCCGTGGTGAAAGAAAAGAAGGCAGAACCCTCGTGGCTCTGAGGTTTGGCCCTGCCTCACTGTAAATAAGGAGCCAGCACATCACGTACTTAAAAGCTGACTGGCAGCAGGACAAGGAAACAACCTGAGGGAAGAGGGTAACTGCATTTCTCAGGTTGCTTCCTTCTCATTTGTAGCTAGAGTGAAGACTGAAGCTATTGTAATATCTCTGATTCCCAAAAGCGAACTAAAAAGTAAGTGAAAACCCATTTATTAGAAAAATATAAACCGCATTCCCACTACTTTCCAGTTACTCTGCTAAGTGCTGGGAATGCAATGTAAGTGAGACAGACATGGACCTACCCTTTAGGGCACTTACAGCTTGCCCACTGCTTACACACATAATGGTAACATAGGAGGGAATGTAGGAGGCGGGTTCCCTTGCCTAAGTCCGCGCAACTTCTGAGAGCACCAGTGTTAGAGAAGGGTAATTCTGGGAGAATGGTCACTCTATTGTTCTGTCCAGGGGCTGCAGAAGGAGTGGCTCCACCAGGGGAGGGGGACGGTGACTGCAGACAGGTCCTTCTGGCAGCTCCATACTCAGCTGGCACATTGGGAACAAGGCCAATCATTAAATATAGGTATTCTTTAAATGCTCATGTGTGTATGGGCTGAGCTTAAAAAGGAATGGGGGTAGTCCATCTACTACCTTTCCCCCCTTTTCTCCCTCCCTCTCACTCCTGCCAAGACTGCCCAATTACTTACCACAAGTGCAAAGAACTGAAACTGCCTCTGGCCAGAACAAGACTGCTGAGGATATCACTGGAAAGAGGCCCACCTGCCAGCTGCCAAATCAGAGCTGCTTCCAGGGGGTGAATCCTCGAGCTGGAAAGTTTGCTTACTCCACCGACAACACCTTTGAACAGGACATTTACTTTGGTAATAGAGCTGGGGCCTGGTGGTAGGGGCTGAGGTAGACATGGAGCAGGCAGGTGGAAGGTAGCTGGGGGATGAAACAATCGCGGGTGGGGATGAGGCCCTGGGTGACCCAGGTGTTTACAGTAACAGTCCCCGGCAACTCGCCCAGGAGCTATTTGGGTTCTCCAGGGTGGTAGGTAGATGTACCTGGTAGGGAGAAAACTCTTTTCCCTCTTCCCCCTTTCTCTTTCTATCTTACTAAGGAGACAGTGGAGGGAGGGATTGTAAAGCAAGCAAGATTTGGCTTTGGGAACAGCCTGCCTCTTCTCTGTGCACCCTTCCTCCCTCCTCTCACTTTGAGATATTCCTTCACTGAGGTGCTACACTAGAAAAGAGAAATCACAGGCTTTGGAGTCAGGCAGATCCGAGTTTAAATCCTGGCTTAAACACTTCCTACTAACCTTCAGGAAATTATATACTTCCTCTGAGCCTTATGTACCTTATTTGTAAAACAATATTAACAAAAATACTCTTGCCCCAGCTTGTGTGGTTCAGTGAATTGAGTGCTGGCCTGTGAACCAAAAGGCTGCAGGTGTGATTAGCAGTCGGGGCATGGGCCTGTGTTGCTGGCCAGGTGCCAGGTTGGTGGCATGCGGGAGGCAACCAATTGATATTTCTCTCCATCTCTTTCTCCTTCCATTCTCTTCTCTCTAAAGATTAATAAATAAAATCTGTTTTTAAAATGCACTTGATGTAAAGAGTAGATGACAAAGCATCTATAAATGCCCAATAAATGTCCAATACCTTCCCTTTCCACCTTGCCATCCTTTAGAGGCCTGGGCTCCCAGGATATACAATCTATTCTGCATGATCCAAGCTGTTTATTCTTTCCCACCCCCATCTTTTTCCTAAACTTCTATCAACTGAAAGTCTTCTTAAAGTGTTTAAGAAGTAGTATTTATGACTGATAAAGAGATGAATTAGGTGGCCTTTCATTAGTATCTAGCTTTTCATAGGGGACAATGCCTGTAAGTTAAGCAGGCTCTGCCTTGACTTCCAGGCCTGAGAGAGAGAGCATGGTAGTCATGAGTTCTGGGGGCTTAGAGTAGGGTAAAATGAAATCAGGTCTGATCCTGGTGACTGGTAACACAGGAAAAGCAAGAAGGAAGGTGCTGAGGGCTCATTATTTCTTCTCCTCCTCCTTTTTTTAATGCCATCTGCATATTTTATTTATTTGACTTTCTTTATCTATTCATAGATAAAGTCCAGATCATCCACCAGATTGGTGCAAAGAGAGACCAAATTTTCCTGGAAAATCTCAACCAGTACAACAAGCAGCTATCTAAGGTCTTCCCTGAAACCCCAGAAAGGTGGACTTCCCAGCCAGTTCCTGAAGCACGTAAGCAGGAAGCTGATAATGGGCATAAAGATGGAAAAGTGGCTATTTCTTTTCCTTTTTTTTTTAATCCTCACCTGAGGAGGTGCTTAGAGGAGAAGGGAGGGAGAGAGGGAGAAACATCTATTGGCAGCTTCGCCCATGTGCTCCACAAATGGGAACTGAACCTGCCACCCCAGGCATGTGCCCTGACTGGGAATCGAACCCTGGACCTTCCCATTCACAGAAAGATGCTCCAAGCAACTGAGCCACACCAGCCAGGGCGTGGCTATTTCTTTAAGGCCCCTGTTTCACAGGGCAGGGCACCACCAGCATCTAGGCAAGTCCCTTACTACCAACTAAAAATCATCTCATGCAGTTATAAAATACAATAACTAGGAAGAGGCTTTGTGAAGCATCCATTCAGTTGAAATAAGAAAAAGCTTATGTGTAATAAAGTGGTTTAGGACCAGTAATTACCAATGAGGCAGAACCCATCTTAATGCTTCCAGGGGGCAGTTAATCAAACCCCTGATCCAGCAGCACCTTGCCCTTTTCCCTTGGGCTGGCCCTCCCCTCTTTCTCCATTCTCAGGCTCATCATACCTGCTTCAGGCAGTATATTTTACAAGTTTCTGTTTCATAAATACATCATTCTTCATTCTGTAAGACAAATAAGATAGAAGGAAAGAAAATAGCCAAGAAATGAGCTTATAAAACAAAAAGTGCCCGTCCACCCTCCAAGATACTATGCTTCCATTTTCCATGACTTTGCAGTGTCTCTGTTCAGATGGGCCCCTGGTGTGCAGAAACTAGTAGGAGTGACTTCCTCATTTTCCCACCAGCCCTAATACCTCTGTCCGTGGTGCTGCCTGGCTTGGTAACAGTCACTAGAGTAGAGATGCTAATGATGGCAGCTACATACAGTTTCCCCAATACTCACACACCCTCCTTCTTTGCAGAGGGCCACCATTAGAAAGCAGTGGAGAAGACACCCCAGCGAAGCCTTGGGTTAGATCTTCATGAAAACTGAGACACTAATCATTCTACAGCAAGTCCCTTTTGTGATACTTATTGATACATAGGTGATTTTTGTGAATATTTTTTTCTAGAGATTTTATTTATTTTTAGAAAGGAGAAGGGAGAGAGAGAGGGAGAGAAACATCGATATGTGGTTGCCTCTCCTATCCCCCCTACTGGGGACCTGGCCTGCAACCCAAGCATGTGCCCTAGACTGGGAATCAAACTGGTAACCCTTTTGCAGGCCAATGCTCAATCCACTGAGCCACACCAGCCAGGGCGATTTTGTGAGTATGTTTTACAAACCATTGAGTGCTACACAAACTCAAGGCATTATTATTTGTATAGTACCTTCCCCACAAGGCAGCTCTATTCTGCATGTCCTCTCCTCTAAGAATAGGCCAATCCACAGAGACAGAAAGTTGATCAGTGGTTGCTGTGTGATAGTTGCACAAGTCTACAAATACATTTAAAAACCCCTGAACTATATATACTTTAAAAGGATGAAATTTACAGTATGTGAGTTCTACCTCAATAAAGCTGTTATTTTTTAAAAATCCTCTTAGGGTCCTACTGCATTCACAGACGCTTCCCCACCTATCTCACTTGCTTCATAGGCATTTTCTTCCCAGTAATGCTGGACACCTGCCTTCTTTCCCCTAAGAGCACACAGCTAATGCTGTAGGATTTTTAACATCAAGCTTCTTTTTAAAATAGTATTTGAAATTGATCTGGGTAAAGTCAAGCCAGAGTAGTATTATAGACACATCTTCTTATAACCATTTTATTCATCATCTCATCTCAGGAAATATTGGGTATGAAAGAACGTGGAAATAATAGAAAACTTCCTGAGGTTAGATGTGGGTAGATTACTTTTTTCCTTTTCATTTTGATTGAACTGAAAAACTTAGATGGTAATTTCTTTAAAGTGATACAAATTTTGAAGAAACAAAGTGTACTTATTATGACATAGCCTTAAGTTTCCCCCCAATCAGAACAAAAAAAACACCTTGGTATGCTCAGATCATTATGGTTCCTATATACCAAGCACAGATTTTATGGTACAAGTCACAAAGGCACGTCCATTTCTGCCAACAAAGAAGACAGCCCCTTTGTCCCATAGACAGTCAAAGGGTTTCTCCTTTGTGTGCTCCCTTTAGATGGCGTTTGATGTGGAAGGTGGCTAGTGGGATGTATTTCTATCTACCTAGAAGATAGATAGAAATCTCAAAGGACTGGAAGTAAAGTAAATGTTGGCAGTTGTACATGTTTATTCCCACAGATATCAAACATCGGAGATTTAAGACTTTCTTACCACATCCATTTTAACCCCCTGAGCAGGGGGATACAGGAGGAACAGCTACTTCTCACTTCCATGGGAGGGATTTCCAGGAGGCTGGGAGAACTCAGGGAGTGTCATGTGGCAAAGTATCTGTACACTGGGGGCTGACCTCTTTGGAGCTGGTTCTACACCTTCTGGCTGTACACGTCCTGTATATGCTGCAAAGGAAGGATGCCCTGAATTGGGTGACTGAGTTCCCCCAGTATGACCCAGCTGGGTGAGGACCATTTGGAGGGTAGGCTCTGTATGGGCATCTGAGCTACACTGTCCTGGAGTCTGACAGGACTCTTTTTACATGAGAAGAAATGGCATTGCCCTCCTTCCTCAAAGGAAAGAATTGATTCAGAGCAAATCTAAACATATTGGAGTTACAATGAAATCTGGAAAAACAGAAACAGGTGATAGCGACAGACTAGAACATGAACCTGAGAAGCGATATGGCAAACAATGAATTTAGTAATGCAGAAATGTTTCTGTCTGGTTTGTCTTTGCCTTCTCCGTACAACTACACCTCTGAGAAAGGAGCTTTCTGTATCTCAAGCCAAGGAGCGTAGAAAGTCCCCAAAAACATAACTGTAACTATATTTATATAACAACTATACTTATAATTTCTTCTGTTCTCAAATTTCCAACTGTTATTTGTCATAATTAGGAAAAACTCAGAGTTGCTAAAATCTTTAAAATTAGCTGCTTGCAGTCCCAAATTAAAAACACTAAAAAGAAAGCTTAATAAATTAGGAATTAATGGCCAATTAGACTCTAAATTGCAATATATCAAATATTGAATTTTATGACCAAACATTTTGACATAGTAACATATTTATGTTCCTAAAGTTTTATTAAACTTATAGAAAGGTTTGTAAATAGCTCAGCCCCCCACCCCCACAATCTCTCCACCATCATTGTGGCTTTATCTTGTCTGTAATCGGGACTTTGCATAACTCCCTATGGGGCTCGTACTCAGTTCCCTTCACAATCACAGGAAAGTTCACTCTTCAGTATGTTGTTTTGCCATGGTGTTAGTCAGGAATAATAATGTGATGCTAGTTGGAACACAGGGCCTAGGGCAGTGAGGTGGGAATTCCTCATACTGCCCTACTGCACAGCTTGCAGGCCTGTGAAAGGAGCCCTGTGCCGGACAGCTTTGCCCACCCCAGCCAAGGATCTGCTGCTGCCGGTTGGTGAAGAGGATATGTCCATTAAGACCAGGAAACTGAAGATGCAGGCAGAATCATTGGAGGATTGGAAACTGGTGGTCCTTCAGAGGATGCTGCAGGAATGGAAGACTGCCTGGGCTCTAAGTGAGCAAAGGGCAGGGGATACAAAAATCAGCATGAATTTGTGGGGGAGGAGGGTCTCACCTTGGACTAGTGTTTTTCAGTCTTTGAAAAATCCATCCCTCTCTTGTAAAAACATAAAAATCTGGTTGCCTTGTCAAGATTAGACTAGACAAGAGCCCTTCACACAATGCTAGTTTACATGTATCTGGATATCCAGATGCTTTTTGCATGGGCAGGTTTTACTTTAGTAATTTGTGGAAACTCACTATGTTGAGACCTCTTCACAGGCAGGGACCTTAACTTACTGACCTTTGAAACTTTATGTTCAATGAATATTGTGTGAAGGGAAGGATGAAATATGCTGCCCAAGCAATGGAAATGTAATGATCAAAAGAAATGGTAGCTGTCTGTGGGAAAAAACAACCCCTCTCCAAAATTCATTTGTGGCAGTGGGATTATCATGTATCTACTTTGCTTTTAGAGACATGAGAGCAGAAGTCTGAGTGTCTAGGGCAGAGAAAAGGCCTCGCAAGGACTGTCGAAAGCTATTTGAGTCTTCAAATCCTCTAGCTGCTGTCTTTCAGAACATAAGAAAAATATTTAGTGCAGGAGAAAGAGAGGAGATCCATAAACTAGATCAGATAAACAAAAACAAAGAACAACAACAAAAAAAAGAGATTCTCAGTAAAAGCTACAAATAGGGAGCAACTACAGATGGTGGGAGCACTAAAATAAAAGCTTGGTACCTACAAAGAGAGCAGTTAGCAATAAAATGACGAAGACCTTGAAAGCCAGATGGAGGAGCCCTTAAAGGCAAGGAAACCTGATAACTTGACAGGTACTTTGCTAACCTTTCTCTAGTTATTGCATTTACTAACTCAGTCACTAAGTATGGTAGGTTCTAATATTAATCCCATTTTACTAATGAAAAATCTCAAGTTCAGAGAGGTTAAGTAACTTATCCAAGATCACACAGCTATTAACTGTGATTCCAAATCAGGTATGTCTCATAACAAAGTGCCCTTAAACACTATGCTTTATTTTCCCCTTTTATTTTCTAGATGGTAACAATGGAGAGTTATTTAAGCAAAGAGAGACAGAATATGAGTTGGGTATGGGTGGGAGTTTTGTTTGGGAACTAACCTAGAGAGGATGGGGATCATCAGAGAAATAACTTCCCTAAGGATCCATCTCTGGAGCTCTTTATTTTTCTGAACTAATGTTTTGCTTGAATTGTCCTGGGGGAAGGGGACTTCTTGGCACCTGCCTGCAGTATGATATCTAACCCTAACCAGGTGGTTCTCTTCTCATTTCCCTCCCTGTGCCACAGTCATTGAGTGGCACCATGAGACAATAGAGGGCCTGCTGCGAAGTTTGGTGGACATGAATGATAATGCTCGGATCCAAGCTATCGTCACATGTGCCACAGCTGCTTTAGAACGGCCCCGGATTGCCATCAGCCAGGGGGACTCAGGTGAGCCCGAACTGGACTGCTTAAGAATGCTATAGACAGGTTTTCCCTGCTACCTCAAAGTACAATATTCCTATGAAACCCTCTGTAAGCCAAAGTAGCATAACTTGAAGAGTTATCCCCCACTTTCTGAAAGGTCACATATGATACTTTGCCTTCATGGAAGACCTATATTAGTATGGTAACAGCTTTTTTCATAAATGCAAACATCCTCTTCAGATTTCTTTCAGTTAGCAAAAACAGATACTAACAGAATTATAATCTACTGAGGAGCTGTTTAACAAGACACAAGACCCAGATGGTGGGAACTAGAAATGCTATTTAAAGGACATAAAACTAACAGACATTTATCCATCAAGCACCTTCTCAGATATCACCTTTTCTTAATGTGAAGCCTGAGCTGACATTTTTTCTTTCTCTGCTGCTGGTACCATACTAATATTATTGTTATTATTATAGAAAGGATTAGGAAGAGAGAGGGAAACATCGATGTGAGAAATATCAACCCATTGCTCAAAAGCACCTCAACCAGGTTGAACCTGCAACCTAGGCATGTACCCTGACCGGGAATTGAACCTGTGACCTCTTTGGCTTTATACAAACTGAGCCACACCAGCCAGGATACCACCCTAATATCATTCCTGTCCTAATGTTTATCACTCTCTCATAGTTGCCTGTTTACTTTTCTGCCATCTCTAGTAGGCAAGAACTCCTTAAGGGCAGGGACTAATTTTAATTCTACAAAGTTGTTGGATTAAAAAATATATTTATTTATTTATTTATTTATTTATTTATTTATAGAGAGGGGAAGGGAGGGAGAAAGAGAGGGAGAGAAACATTAATGTGTGGTTGCCTCTCAAGCACCCACTAATGGGGACCTCGTTGGCAAACCAGGCATGTGCCCTGGCTGGGAAGCGAACCCTTTGATATGTAGGCCGGGACTCAATCCACTGAGCCACGCCAGCCAGGGCCAAAGTTGTTAGGTTTTTAAAGTTTCATTTCACTTATACTCTGTCTATTGAGTTCCAGATATGGGCATTTTTCCTCCAAGTTTTCAAATTCACTCTCTCTGCTCCCTCTGCTGGAAAATTCTTCCTCTCTTCACCTGATTAACTTCTATATTTGCCTTCAACTTGCAGCTAAGACGTCACTTCCTCTGAGGAGTCTTCCCTGCCCCAGACTGGTTTGGTGTCCCTGCTATACATGTGTTTACAGATATACATTTTCTATTACAAATGTTTATTTCCTTGGGTATTAAATGGGATGATAGACAATGTTTGTCCAGAAGGTATCCAGCCATGTGATATAAAAAATAGACATTTATTGAAGAAGATACCAGATACAAGAAACATTGTACACAGGGCAATGATGCCTCAGTCCCCTTCAAAGTAGCACATTGGGACCTCACACCATTCTCCCAGTTGCCATCAGCTGCCTTGTATTTTCCTGAATCAATGGTCTGAAACCTCTTCCTTTTCAAAGGTGGATTCATTTTTGAGAAAAGCCAGAAGTCACAGGGCACCATATCTGGGCTATAGAGGGTCTGAGTCAGGTGGGTGATTTGATGTTTTACAAAAAAACTCTGCAGGAGACATGGTGCATAAGCGGTCACAGTGTCGTGATGAAGCTGCCAATTACCAGTTGCCCCTGGCTGTGGCCTTCTGAATCATCGGAATAGTTTCTGCAGAGGAATGTTCAAGCTTAACATAAAATTTGATGCATATTTGTTGCTCTACTCATTCACTCTTTCTGAATGCGACAGCCACACAGTACACACGCTCGCTCACCAGACTCTATTGCGCCCACTGACTAGTACAGTGAAGTCATTGTTCACGCATTCCAGTCCACTCTCCTTGGCTGCCAGATTACATGGGTATTGTGCAAATCATTCTCACAATATTCCATGTTACATTAACAATGGCTGGACTTTTTCCAGACAGACTTCATATGTTTACTGCCTGACACATAGAGAAAACCTTCAATAAGCAGCAACAGATATTCTAATCTTATCCCCAAATCTTCAACATACTTACAAACACCTTTGTCTTCCGCCAAAAGAACTATGCCTTTCATGTGACTCCTTTCATATGTCCTAGGTGTCTAGATTTTGATGTGTCTTGTTTCCTCCCCCAACTTTCCCAAAGAAAATGATCTACTCATTATTTCTTGAAATACTCAGCTGACTTCTACCTATTTCCCTGAAATACACAGATTTCCATCTAGCCCATTATTAACAGTTGGCTTAGCAGCCTGCAGTGGTAGTAAAAAGGACAGATTAGAAATCCTAAAATCTTAGTCATAGGTCAAGCTTCTTGGAAGTCGGTTAACTTCTAGGAGCTTCAAATTCGTTATCTATAAAATGAGGATAGTTGTGGACAAAAGGTTAACAAAACCCTTCCCCTTCTACTTGAGAATTTGAGCTTTAATTAAATATCTCCTTGTTACTCTGATAACCCAATAAGGACAGGAACTATATTTACAGGCAACATTGCTTGTCATAAAAAAATGAACCCTGATTCATCATTTTGGACTGGGAAGAGCTATAAGTGAAATATAAATACCTCAAGGAGTACCATTGTTTAAGTTTCCACGAATGCTGTGACTTATATAACAGCATGCCCTTTGGGGACCCTGGAATTATATCTATGGAGTTGTTATAAAAGATACTAATTCCTGTGAAACGTATGACTTGTATACAGAGTGGATTCCATGCTCCTGAGCTGTCCCCAAAAGGCTCCATGGAATGCTATACAAACCACCTCAAGAACTCTGGCCAAAAGGAGTGCCTAATGCTGCCTTGTTGGCCAACTATGCTCCCATCCTATATTCTTCCATAGACTGATACCATGGGTGGACCATGATAGTCTTATGAGCCTGTTTAGTTAAACAAAGACTCCTAAAATACACATATTTCAGGTGAGCCCTGCTGTAATACCTGCCTTGCCTACTTCAATGATGAATGAATGAGATGACTATGAAAACACTATATAAGTGGGAAAGCACCAATCTAAATGTAACTGCTATTACTATTAAAAATACAAAATGTAATGTAAAATTATAAAAATATATAGGGTAAATATGTTGATTTTCATCACTAAAACTTATGGTGAAAGCCACCACAGCCTAGCTGGAGACCGTATTCAGCCTGAATATAGCTTCTTCAAGGCCAGGTTGGGAAGGACTGGAAAGCAGCATAGCCAGCACAGAAGTGAGCCATAAAATCCTGCCCATTGTAGGGGCTCAACTAAACTCTAATTATTATGTATTATGTAGACGTAAGCCCCAGCAAGTGAAACTGAGGATGGCTGCCATGTAGCAATGGGAAGGAAGCTGTGTTCCAGAGAAAAACAAAGGGGTTAGCACTCTCCTCTAGTTCTTTTTTTAAATCACAGACAAGGAGGAGACTGTGAAAGCCCCATTGATCCAGGACTTGCCAGAAGTTCTAAAGCCCGCTCTGGAGGCTGCTCTTTGTGACAAGAATGTGAATGTGCAGATGGCAGCAGCAATATGCCAATATGTCATCCAGTCACATAATCCCCTTGCCCGGGACATCATGCAGAATGCGCTTTTGAAGGGTGAGTAACTCCCTTTTTATTCAAACCTGGGAATTTGGGATAAAGAGAAGATATCTTACCATCACCTTTTCCTAATCTTTTCCTCTCCACTATCATACTCTGTGATATCTACTGTACTGGGCTTGTGTTCCTCTTAGAACTTATAAAACTTAGTTCTTCCTAGGTACTTTTACAAAATGGGTACACTGCCACCTAGCGGTATTTTGGCTAAGTGTTTCATAGACGCATTTAACTAGGAACCATGGCCTTTGACACAACTGGATTTTCTTTTTATTGAAGTATGACATAATTGAAAATATATGAAAATTAAAAGTCACCACTTGGACACATCATGATTCCATTTTTACACATTAACTTATAGGCATTGTCCACATGCATTGTTGGTGTAATACAAGCCAAAAGGTCAAGTGATATGCCCAAGGTCTCAATGCCTATTCCTTTTCTGGGAGTTGAGGACAGACAAGGACAACTGGATGATCTTCTGCTATAGACACTCAACAACTTGATTCATCTGTCTTAAGAAAGCCTCCACTTCAGACTTCCCAGTTTTTAAGGGGAGGAACAACTGTATCTTTCAGCCAAGCCAAAAGGGCCTTACTGCTATTACCGAAGAGCCTTTTAGGATTTAACTTTTCAGGTTAAGATTTTTCAGTCTATATTTAAAACCTTGATATGATCCATTTAAATATGGGACTGGATTTCTAGACTGAAAGGGGCACAAGGAAGTGAGATATCAGGCACCCAAAGGCTGTTCTGTGGGGAAAACAGGTCACCTATCTGGACTCCTTTTCTCACCTCACTGTGGCAGGTAATAGCGTGGATAGCTGGGCTGCAGCTCAGTGCTTGGCTCTGGATGGTGCTGCCACTTACCCCGTGATTAAGAGGATCCTCCATCAGCTGTTTAACAAAAGGAATGAGGACACTGAACACCAGGCGTGCATGCTCCTGAGTCATCTCAGTGGGAAGATGGTAAGGGTCCATTATAGGATCAGAAAAAGAAACGAAGTTTAGGGGAACAATTGAGACTTTGAGATTGGTGCATGGAAAAAAATCCAAAATGCGGGGGTTGGGTAGGATGATCTCAAGCATAGGTAAAACTACACTTGGTGTAATGGAACTGGGGTAGAGAAGTGTATACGAGGAAAAATGACAATAGCTAGCTTAGAGAAAGGTGAGAGAAGTAGGCTGCAGATGGCTTCTGTGTATGCAATAAGATTTGTGACATGTAGAATTTACTTCTGCTGTATGTTTACCCTTGAAAACCACACAGACCTACAATTGTTTACTTTCAGCAGAAATGTGAAACACAAAGACTTAGGCATATAAAAGTTATTTTAGGGGTAAAGATAGTTAAAGTCAACAGGAGAAGGCCTCAGAAGTTTTCTGTTCAGATTACAAAATCTGTATTTTGTTCCCTGACTCACGATACCAGAAGTCAGCTGGGTTAGATGGACCAGTGCTCCAAATTTTACAAACCCATTCCTTGCTAGAGATGGGCATCTCACGTACTTCTTACATTAACTATGCTGCATGCCATGTTAGGATGGAAGTTCTTCGAGGTTCTAGCATCTCTAAAGATGATCATGAATATCCATACAAGTCTTCTATTTCCTCAGACCCAGATACACACGATACTTGCTGTGGAGCTCAATAGCCGCCAATGGAAGGACCGGATTATGGCCTGCCAGGCTCTCCCGCGGATCAGTGGAACTGTCTGTTTGGTAAGCTTTTTCTGTTTCCAGAACAGAAAGTCTAGGCTAGAGAGTCCCTCCACCTTTTGCTGCTATCTGCTATCCCATTCGTACCAAATGGATCTCTGTCCTCACATTTCTCTTTTACTCCTAACCAAGGATTATCTTCAGATGTCAACATGGCTTTCTGTAACTTAAGCCACTGCTTCTGAGCTTGTGGTGGCAGTCCACAAACTGTTTATAACCCACCTACAATGAAATAAGAAAAAAAAACCCAGAGTTTAAAAACTTTTATAGTGATTCGACATTACCTCCATATCAATATACTATATAAGTATCAGTCAATGACATTTTCCCACTCAAATACTGGTCCTTCATCACAGATAGTAAGAAGCACTGACTTAAACTACCTAACAACCCAACTACACTGGTGTCTCTGCTGGCTTTCCCTGAGAGAAGTAGGCTACAGATGGTTTCTGTGTTAGCACACATAGAAAAGGTATAAACCACAGTTCCTACTTCAAAAAGTTGACATTATAGTTGGAGTAACAAGACTAAGATACACAAATGATTCAAGAAGAAGCAATAAATGTAAGTTGCTTTAAAGCTTTTAAGAGAGAGACTAGTATGGGCTAGCTTTATCAGTTAAAGTTGTGTGAAGGAGTGTGAGACACAGCCGAGCAACACGGGATAGAATGAAGGAGGACTTTTGCCATGAAAAACCCTGACCATCATTTGGGATTCCACCTGACCTCCTTCTTGCCATTATTTTTTAATCATCTTTAGCTATCCAAATGGGATTTTTCCCTTCTTCCTATGTGTCACTATATCTTTTCCTTATAACAAAATGGCCCAGAACATTACCATTCCCATGAGAAGTGAACACCTTCTATTCTTTGATTCTCACATTTTGATGTGGAGAGCATAAAATCTGGCCATTCACTATAATTACCTGAAGACATTTTAGTCTGAGTTAATTTTGCCCCAACTGCCATAGTACCCTGCTGCTAAAGTCTTGGACCAGGCGCATCACCAGGAGCATCCCAGGCATCACCCAAGAGCTTGTTGAGTGCAAAGTCTCACCTCAGGTCAACTCAATCGGAATCTGCATTTTTAAAAATATATTTTATTGATTATGCTATTACAATTGTCCCAATTTCCCTCCTTTGCCCCCTCCTCCCAGTACGCCCCTTTCCTCCAGCAGTCCCCAGCCTTAATTCATGCCCATGGGTCATGCTTATAAATTCTTTGGCTCCTCCATTTCCTATGCTATTCTTAACATCCCCCCTATTTTGTACCTACCAATTATGCTTCTTAATCCCTGCACCTTTTCTCCCATTCTATCTCTTCCCCCTCCCAGTTTATAACCCTCCAAAGGGTTATCCCTCACATTGCTCTTTTTTAAAAGTTTTTAAAAAGTTTTAAAGCAACTTACATTTATTGTTTGTTCTTGAATCATTTGTGTATGTTGGTCTTGTTACTCCAACTATAATGTCAATTTTTTAAAGTAGGGACTGTGTTTTATACCTTTTCTATGTGTGCTAAACACTCAGGGAAAGCCAGCAGAGACGCCAGTGTAGTTGGGTTGTTGGGTAGTTTAAGTCAGTAGTTTAAGAGCAATGGAGATCATAGATGATTATCTATGATCCTGTTCCTGTTCTGGCTGTTTGCTTTGTTTGTTTCTTTGTTTTGGTTCAGTTGTTGATAGTTGTGAGTTTATTGTCATTTTACTCTTCATAGTTTTGATCTTCTTCTTTTTCTCAAATAAGCCCCTTTAACATTTCATGTAATAATGGCTTGTTGATGATAAATTCCTTTAGCTTTACGTTGTCTGGGAAGCAATTACCTGCCCTTCCATTCTAAATGATAGTTTTGCTGGATAGAATAATCTAGGTTGTAAATGACAGCTTGCTGGATAGAATAATCTAGGTTGTATGTCCTTGCTTTTCATCACTTTGAATACTTCTTGCCTGCAAAGTGTCTTTAGAGAAATCAGCTGATAGTCTTATGGGAAATCCTTTGTAGGTTACTCTCTGTTTTGCTCTTGCTGTTTCTAAGATCCTCTCTTTATCTTTAACCTTTGGCATTTTAATTATGATGTGTCTTGGGGTGGTCCTCTTTGGGTTCAACTTCTTTGGGACTCTCTGATGTCTATTCCTTCACCAAATTAGGGAAGTTCTCTTTCATTTTTTCAAAAAGGCTTTCAATTTCTTGTTCTTCCTCTTATTTTGGCACCCTTATGATTTGGATGTTGGTACATTTAAAGTTGTCACAGATTCCCAGGCCTATCCTCAATTTTGTTTTTAATTCTTCTTTCTTACTGCTGTTCTGATTGAATGCTTTTTCCTTCCTCATGTTCCAAATTATTGATTTGATTCTTAGCTTCATCCTCTCTGCTGTTGGTTCCCTGTAGATTTTTATTTCATTCAGTGTAAACTTCATTTCTTCCCTTATGTTTTTGCCACACTGAATGAGTTCTTTGAGCATCCTGATCATCAGTTTTTTGAACTCTGCATCTAATAGATTGGTTATCTCCATTTTGTTTAGTTCTTTTTCTGTTTTTTTTTCCCCCATTCTTCCATTTGGGCCATATTTCTTTGTCTCCTTAATTGTGCAGCCTCCCTGTGTTTGTTTTTGTGTATTAGGTAGAGCTGCTTTGGCTCCATGCTTAGACAAGGCACCTGTAAATTGTGTGGGGTGCAGCCTCAGGTAATTGCCAGGGCAAGCAAACTGCTTCACTGCGCTGTGGCTCTGTGTCAGGGTAGGGCTCAGAGAGGGTATAATACTGCTGCCTGGCTTCTGGAGGCTTGCCTGGCACTCACCCCATTTCTAGTCACTTCCCCCACTTCTTGTATGTGACTGACACCCTTACAGCTGTTGCCCTGGTGGTGAATCCCAGAGTGGGTGGGTTTGTGTATGTTCTAAGTCAGTACAGGTCCTTTAAACCAAGTCTTCTGAAAATCTGGCAATTTCTTCTGCCACCCCAAACCCCACTTGTTTTTATAGCCAGAAGTTATGGGGATTTATCTTCCTGGTGCTAGAACCCTAGGTTGTGTAGTCTGGGCCTGGGGCTGGGAGAGCTCGCTCCCAAGGTGTCCCTCCTGACTTTTATCTACTACATGTGAGCGTGGAATCACCCATTCTGCTACCGCTGCCTTTCCACACCATACCACACCACACATCTCTGAGCCTCTCTGACCATCTCCACGTCTCTGCAACTCCACCTCTCCTACCTGTCTAGATGAATGTGGCTTCTTTAAATCTTTGGTTGTTGGACTTCCATACAGCTCGATTTTCTGACTCCTCTGGTCATTGTGTGTTTTGAGATATAGTTGTAATTCTCTCTGAGGTTGCACGAGGAGGCAAAGTGTGTCTTCCTGCACTTTCATCTTGACTGGAAGTCTTCAGAATCTGTATCTTATCATTTTAACATCTGATTCATTTGCACACTCAGCCCCTTAGCAGCTGTCACTCAGGATTGCCAATTAAAAGTAAAAAGACATGCAGAGCAAGCAGGGGACAGGGTAAAAGATGAGAATCTTTATGCCAGGCTGCTGGAATTAAGAAAGGCATTATGTCCATCAGTTCTCCCCTTCAGTAAGCAAGCAGTTTCTGACCACATCCTACATGCCAGGCACCATTGTATCATTGGGGATGCAAAGATAATACCTTCGCTTGGTTATAAATAACTACAACAGAAGCAATTTTAAGGTATTATGGGGTTTTCCTTACAAAGGACAAAGGAGAGTTCACCGAAGAGATGCTTTTTGCTGAATCATAAAATCAGAGTAGGAAACATCAGGTACCAGGTAGAGGTGAAAAAGGATGTTTCTAACAGGAAGAATAGCTTGGACACATTCACAAAATCAACTACAACTGCAATAATCTTTGTCCCTTCCCCTCTGAGAGAAGTATCAGTATATAGGTGGCCAACTGTCCTGGTTTGTCCATGGCACAGGAGTTTTAGTCCTTAACCCGGGAAAGTACCAGGCAAACTGGGATTAGTTGGTCACCCTATTAATATGTCACCTTCAAATCCTAAGTCTCTCAAGTATTGATTACATCATGAGCTTGGAAAACTGACCAAGATCTGAGCCCTGGCTTTAGCACTCAACTAGTTAACCTTGGGCAAGTAAATATATGCCTACATTTTGTCATCTGTAAATGGTAATATCTGCCTCATTGGTTTGTTTGAGAGGATTAAGTGAAGGAGAAAAGTTCTCAGCACGGTGCCATGTATGAAATTGATGCTCAATAAATGGTGGCTAATTATTACACCTATTTATAGGATATAAAACATAAGTTGATCCAGCTGATGTGGAATGACTGGAATAAGGAAGTAAGACAAGCAGCTGCCAAAGCTCTGGGGCAAATGAGTCTTGGGAAAGAGGTGCATGACACAATCAGGTAAACCTAGTTAACATGAAGAGAGAAACTTTTCTGTTCTTAAGTGTTCAGGGGCCCTGGGATCCAGCCAGCCTTTGAGGAGCTGCTCCGTATGCTCAGCACTGTACTGAGATCCAATGCAGGATTATTAAAAAAAAATAAAACAAAAAGTTAACAGTCCCTTATAGACACTAACAATGTAGCTAAGGAAAGAATCATTAATTGAATGTCCACTAGGTGTTAGGCACTGTTTTGGATGATTGCAAAAGTTCAAAAGCATGATATGTTTCTGTTTATACAGGCAAGATACACAAATGCCTAGTAAGGTCAAGTTTCATGGAGGGTAGATGAGACTACATAGGCAGAGAGGAAAAAGAATGACATTTCAGGATGAGAGCCAAATGCAGAAATGAGCATGGCACACATGAAGGCAGTGAATAGAACTGTAGTAAGCAAGAGGTGCATGTTTCAAAGTTTCTTTCATTTAGTCTTTAGTCATTGAACATAGCTTAGTCCCTAGCCCATGCTAGCCAATAAGGATTCAAGTAAATAAGACAATTGAATATCTCCCCAGTGAACTTAAACTAATGAGGTTAAGGCTGACAGGAAAGGGAGGGAATGAATAATGGACAGCCTACAAAGGTTGGATTTTATCCTGAGGGCATTGTAGGGGAGGGAGCACCAAATGTTTAAGGAGGGGAAATAAAAGCACGTCTGCTTTACAGAGTCAAGCTGTGTCAAGGAAATTCCCAAGAGCGTGTGGAAGCCCTGTTCCTGATCAGCGGGCTCAAGTTCATGACTGCCAAGCTTCTCCCAAGTTTCCTAAACTGCTTCTCTGATGACTTCATGGCAGTTCGGCGGGCAGCCTGTTTAGCAGCAGGTGCTCTGCAGATCCGTAATACAATGGTGAGTCAAGGAAACACGATCCCATCTTACCTGATCAACCAGAAGAAGGCATTACCCTGAGCTTCCCTTGATATGCATAGTACACTCACCATTCTGTGGAGACACAGAATGAGCAATCAGAACCAGGAAGGTGAAGGAGTATATAGCCCACATCAATCAGTTAGGACCACACTTAGCTCCCAGCCAGGCCAGACTTCACTCTAGGGCACATCCCTGAATCCTATTCTCACCTCAATTATGGGCTTTAGGATTATCTCCTGTGAATGAAGTTGTAATGCCATGTTATTAGGAGAAAACCTGATGGAGGCTTTCAAAAGAGGTCTGAATGGCCATATGAATCTGTCAGCTGAGAAAATCAACTTAAAGAAATGAGACAATTTAGCTAATATATTATGTGTGCAGGTTAGTACTTCAGGCTCTAGCTCATTTGTCACTTGAATTGATATGTCATTTTTCAGTTATAGTACATTTTAGAAATAAGACAGGTCCGTGTCCCTGGTCATTCTTGCTCTGGTCTTCTCCACTCAACATTGTCTTTTATCCATCCCAGGTCATTAAATGTCTTCTGAATTTGATACAGAAAGATCCTTACTGGAAAATCAAGGCCTTTGCCATTCGAGGTATGACAGAAAGAGTGGCCCTGCTCCTCAATTTCAAACACCTTCCTATATGCTAGTACTGTACAGATGATACCTAGAATTCCTCTAGAAAGGGGGTCAAGTGTAGGGGAGGGGGTGATCACACTGGCTCAGAAGTTCCTTGCCTGAGAAATTAAAAATTATTTTCTGCTTTTTAATTTTTAGTTAAGGATCCCGAGCCTAGGTCAACGTCAAACATGTTAAGGCAAAGGGCTGATGTTCCCTGACAACTGAGTTAGTGATAAGTTCCACATAGGTATCCCACTGTTGGACACACTTGCTTTCTCTGAAGGTCTTAACTATAGGACTCTTTAAAAGTCAGACCACATTCAAGACTGCTACAGAACCAAAACCCTCCCCTTAAAATCGCCTGGTTTCTTTTTAAGCATCTTTGCATTGCTTCTCTTTGACACTGTTTGGCAGGTCCCTAGCAGAATCAGCCCTAGGTAAACCTGTGAAAGTAACTGTGCCTCCTTTCCCTGTCACTCTGCTTGACTAGTCTAGTCTTCTGAGTTAACTGTCCCATAACTCATCCCCACATTTACCTATTTATGATAGGGAAATTCATATATTCTCATATCCTAATGATATGGATAGGGAAATTAGTATATTCTCATTTCCTAATGGGCAGGGATGGTATGGCACACCACTTCTAGGAGTCCCTTGGAGATAATGTCGTACTCAAACTTATCTCTGAAATTCTAATGGTGATTATCATCCAAAAGGAAAGATGCAAACAAAAAAAAACTTTAGTTTAGTATTTGTAATAATTAATATAGCAGGTGGCTGCCTACACATTATTTATTTAGACCACTTCTGGATGTTAGGTTATAGCTAGGTTAGTCTTAAGTGAGTGACAGTTGGAACATGCTGCCCTCTAATCTCTGCAGCTTTGGGACAGATTGGCCAAGTGAGTCCCCAGCTAACAGACCTCCTGCTCTGGGCTGTACACTATGAAGCATCACCAGGTGTTCGACTAGAAGCTTGCCGTAGCATCCTAGCCCTCAAACTTCAAGGGGACCGGGTCAGGGACACCTTCCTAGACGTGCTGCTCCTAGAAAATCATGATGCTGTTCTAAAGTAAGCCCTAAATCTCTGGTTCCGTCCACCACCCCAACTTTCTCATCCTTGTTAAGACAACATATCCCTGCCTATCCAGGCTGCCTAATGGCTATAAAAGCACGGATTCACCTGTGTCATTCACCTACTTACCCAAATGGGTAACCGAAAAAGATAAGATTGAAAGTCAAGCCCATCTAGATCATGCACCTATACTCTAGCCCAAATGGTTTTAAGTTATTCATTTCTTCAACTAACATGTATCAGGTGCCCACCATGACAACAGGCTTTAAGGTAAAAAAAAGTCTAGTGTTTGAATCCCAGCTCAGGACTGCACTAGCTACATGAGCCTGAGTAAGTTACCTAAACTGTCCAAGCCAATTTTTTTCATGTATCAAATTCAGACGATAGTCGATCATATGGGTTTGTGGTGATGATTAATGAGATGACATGCTTGGTACCTAATAAGACGTTCAATAAATGGTGACTATTAATACCCACAAATGTATAATCTCAATGATGCTCATAAGTTAAGCATCATATCATTTGCAGATAAGGCTCAGTAAAACCTCATAGTTAGGACTGGAATTTAGGCTTTTTGTCTAATTCCAAGTCCTATATTTTCTACCCCCATGCTTTTATTTAAGGATAGAAACAATCTAAGAAGTCCTTCTTATCTTTCAGGGAAATTCACCAGGCAATGAAGATACTCAACTTAGAAAATGAGGGGAACAAAGAACTGCTTCAGGAGATCAAAAACAGGGTAGATAAGTGCAAGCTGTATTTTCAATAGAAAATTCAGGGCTCTCAAGAGTGCTTCAGACCCTTTTTGCCCTCTAAGCATGTGTACATACCCTTTTCCCCATCACAGAAATACTTTCTACAGTCCTAGACACAGACACATGCCATTTGAAGACACAAAACATCTGTACAGATAAGATTATAAAATCCTATTAGTAAAAAGACAAAACAAAAATCCTATTAGTTCTATCAGTATCCCTCAAAATTAAGGTTTGTAGTTGTTTCTAAAATAGTTTCCTTCCTTTCCCATTTTCTCTTCACCATCTCCTACACCAAAGTTCGTCTTTTTTGCAGATAGGCATAATGAAGGAATGAGGGACTGAAGCTGGCCTCCTAGGTTTTCTTTTTCCTACTAAACTTTCCTTAATTCCAAATCTGGGTCTGTCATCAAAAGGATGAACACTCTTAACTGAACCGGTGGTTCTTATTTTTCAAAGCTGTCAGAGGAGATGGAGGGAATAGAGGGAAAGGGGTTTTTAAAAATGTAAAAAAGATTCTTTCTTCATATATAATTCACAAAACCAAATTCACACCATGCAAGCATTTCTTAGAATCTTTTCATCATGCCCAGAAAGCTTAAGTAAAATTTCTCATTACCAGGTGTAAAACTGTCCAATCAATATCACAAGAGAACAATACTCTCAGGCATTTATGTACCACCTAATACTAATAAGCATGATGCAGTAAATTACTTTGTTAGTGCTTTTTGATGATCTGCAGCCTAATGCAGTTGTTTTTTTCAACACCATTTGTTCTGATCTAGATTCAAACACTAAGCCAAAAGGACTTGCTGACGCAGAAAATATTCAAGATCGAGATGGTCATAAAAAAAGTGAAGGCGGAAGCAAAACATATTTACTTGCAACCCAAAGAGGGGCAAAAACCACTGAAACTCCATACTTTTCTTCAAGAAACTTTTCGTGGTAGGTTTTCTAGGAGTGAGTCCTATGCCTTTAACAAGGTTTTTTTGGGATCTGATGTTTTGGGACTTAGTTGTGAGCCCTGTAGGATGAGTCAGAAAAAGCTACCTCCTTTCCTTCTTGGGCATCTTCTCAGTCCTTCTGTTTTTTTTTGTTGTTGTTTTTTGTTTTTTGCCTGCCCCAACCCCCAGCTCTTATTTGCTTATTTTATCCCTTAAAAAAAAAAAATGAATGAAGGAGCTCTATTTGAACTGATTTGAAAGTGAGGTTAAAAAAAATAATAATAATAATAATAATAATAAAACAAAACAAAAACGACTGTTAGGCACACCAAAAAAGCCTTGTGGGCTTAACCTCTAATAGTGGTTACCTCCTCAAAGTGCGGCTAGAGGGAGAACTATCATTTTTACTTTATGTACATCTGTGGTTTTGCAATTTTAAAAGAAAGACTTTATAAAGTCCTCAACCTTATATAACTGAACCTATCAGTTATGCTGATAGGATCTTAAAAGTTCCAGATACAATCTAAACGATGAGGTGCAGACATCAAGCTGTACCAATATATACTTACAAAATCTGTGTGCCCATGCGTAGCAACAGCATCAGGTCATTCAGCCAGCTGCCTACCAGCCACCACCCCAAACCCAGGTCTTCTGGTTCCAAGTCCAGTGCGCTCTCTGGTACACCAGGCTCTTTTCCACCAACCATGAGAATATTCACTTGTCAGATATAGGGGAAGTTTCTTCCAACTGCCAGAAAAAAATGAGAGTGGAAAGTAACTTGAACACCAGCCTTCCCTCATGGCCAGCTTGCTACAAGCTGATTTACTGAGGCCTATGATAGTACAACTAGGAGACAGTGTCATTGATGCAAGCAGCACTGAGCAAAAACATAACATACTCTTAAAAATGTAACTTTTTTACTAGGATTCTGTTGTTTGGGGTTCAAGTAGCATGATTAAAATGAAAAAATTACCTCCAAATTTATAGAACTGGCCCCAAACAACTACCCAAGTTACCTTTACCTCAGCCCTTACAGATTTTCCCTATCTTCCTTCTCCCCTCTCCCACATTCCCTTAAACCATGCCACATAATAATCTAGTCTCAGAAAAGGGAAACATTCTTTGGCACTTTAATAACTTTTCTAACATTCACACAAACTCACAATAACAAACATAATTCTGATCCCAACTGTCCCCTCAAACTGATGAACGAACTCAAATTAAGGATGCAAACACTTCCAAATAAAAACTTAATAATGTCTCAAGCAGAATGACACAGCAAGTGCTACACAGTACACTGAAGTCTGAGGGTGATGAAGTTGGTACTCCAAAATGATCAGGGATCAAGTTTACTTCTGTAGAAATAGCTCCCTTTTTCCACCTCCAACTTCTGCTTTTACTTTTGTGCCTAGATGAGGTGGTGGTTTCTAGAAGACCATCTGAGTTTTTTGACATTGAATCAGTCATAAAGGTAAATGTGAGCAAACTGATGGTTATTGAGGTAAGAACATGAGCTTTTCCCCCAAAAAAATGTGGTGGTGGGAGGAGAGAATCATCCCTACTGCCTTGTTTCCAGCAGTCAACAAGAAACTAGTTCAGGTAAGAGGCATCTTGGTGAGCAGCAGTCCCTTATCATATAACATGGTTGCCAAGGAAAGCTGGTCCTCCACACTGTCACAGGGCAAGTCCCCTACTCTCACAAACTCTGGGTAGGAGCGCAACAAGAGTTCCATGGCATCAGCTTGCTGGGGGAATATCTCCAAGCACTTGGGCTCTTCCAGATGATAAACACGGGAGTTTTCCACTGTATAATAGAGATACAAATGGCCTCCCTCACCCACCAGTCGAGCTATCCCATCCTGAAGCATGTGCACTTCTGTTTCTGTCGTCAATTGGGCCCCCACATTTACTGGTTCTCCAGCCTCCCAACGAATTGGGAGCCCATAAACACTTAGTGCCCTCTCCCTATCAGTCAACACAGGGGGCAGAGAATCATGGATGAAGTCTTTGGCTCGCTGGTCAGCCACAGCATCGACAGGGGCAAAATGTCCCAAGCGGGCAACCAAGACCCGCACCTTCTCCATGAAAGCGGTTCTTCGAGGATCTTTAGAATCCGAATGCTGGGCCCCCATGTAATCCATGAAGTCTCGGGGCAGCCCTCTACGAAACTCCACATTTTCTTCCATTGCAGCCTGCACTGCCAGAGGCAGTACGGCCTCCAGGAAGTCACCCCAGGTATTGCGCTGGTACGTGGACAAGGTGAGGTGCAGAGAGTGCACTCCGTCCTGGCATTCGGCTTGGTGAATGAAACCCCGAGGAAAATAGAGCAAATCTCCAGGTTCCAGCACAGTCTGCAGCACTGGCTCACCAAGGTCGTCCTGGCTGAAGTTGGGGCTGGATGTCAGGGCCAGTTCCTCAGTCGGGACCCGGGGTCGGTAGACTCGCCAAAGTTTTCTACCTTCTAGCTGCAACACAAACGCCTCGATGTCGTCGTAGTGGGGAGCAAAGCCCTGCGAGTTGGGAGGGGTGAGGTAAACATTGGAGCCCGCCATGCTTCCAAACTGCTCCTGGAGCACAGCCAAAAACTGCCACACGGTGGTCGAAAAAGCCTGCGGACAAAGAAGGCGCAGGGAACAGCCGGCCTGGTACAGGGACCACGCAGCGGCGGGCAGGGCGCGGCCGGGGGGATTCAAGGTTTCGCGCCGCCCGTTGATGTAGCGCGCCGCGTCCAAGTGCTGCCCGAACTGCACCTCCTCATTGCGCAGCATGGAGTCTAGGTCTGCGGTAGAAAAAAGACCCTGGTAGTAGCTGTGGTCCTGCCGCCGCACCAACACCGCCTCCCGCTCCCACAGGCGCCGGTAGAAATGATCGGGTGGCATGGGCGCGATGAGCCACTCGAAGAGACGAGCCGCCCGCCGCCGGCTGCTGGGGATGCGGTTAAGCTCGGCCAAGACGCGCTGCAACGGAGAGTCCCAGGATAACGCCCCGCCCGTGCTATCCACCTGCGGGCCCGACAGCGTCGCTGGGGCCACGGACGGTGGGGCAGACGCCAAGTGCTGGGCCGAGCACAGCAAGGCCGAGGTCTCCACCACGCGGGTCTGTGCTGTGGGTACCTCCACCAAACGTGCGGGAGTTTGCTGGGAGCGGGCCGCGGGCGAGGCTTCCAGCAGCTCTGCAGGCCCGTGGTGGCTGTACGGCTCTCGCCAGGCTGCATCTGGGGTGGCCGCCGGCCCACCAGGCAGCGGGTCCCGGGGATCGTCCCCACTCGACTCCACCCTTGAGTCCTCGCTAGGCAGCGTCTGGGCCCTCAGCGCGGCCATGCGGGACGCAACACTTCTCCTCAGCTGCCTTCGGATCTTCCTGGGCCTCACGGGCAGGACCAGCACCGACCCGCTGTGCGACTGTGGCTGGCGCCGGCGTCTCAGCCGCCCACGCCTCAGCAGACCTGCACTAGCCCGGAGCCCGTCCATCGTGGAACCCCTCCCGGAGCCCAGCCGCAGCAGGAGAGTCAGGAGTCTCAGGCTGGCCTCCACTGCTGCAGGGAACTGTGGGAAGGGGCGGGCCTCCAGCCACCGCCGGGGTTGGCCACGCCCACCATTCCTCCGCCCAGCGCCTTGCACTCACGCTTTAAGCAGACGGTACCGTAATTTCTTTCTTTTACAATTCTATAAAACATCATCTGTATATTATATTGTGTTCACCACTCCAAGTCAAGTCTCCTTCCCGTCACCATTTATCCTCCCTTTACCTTCTCCCCACCTACCCTCCTTTACCTCTGATAATCACCCTAAGGTTACCAACATTCATGCCTTTTTTGTTGTTGTTGGTTTTTCCTTAATCCCTTCACCTTTTTCACCCAGCCCCCCGCTTCTGGCAGCTGTCAGTCTATTCTCTGTCTCTGTGAGTCTGTCTCTATTAGTTCATTTTGTTCATTAGATTCCACATATAAGTGAAATTACATGGTTCTCGTCTTTCTGACTGGCTTATTTCACTTAGCAAAAGGGTACCTTAATTGAAATGCGTGGCTTCACACTAGAGCTGCGGAGTCTCTGCCAAATTAACAAGGGTTTCATATTTAGAAGGCAATTTCAAAAATCAAGTTGCTGGGGAGTTGCAGAGAAAGAAAGTTGGCTACTTGACTTTTTATTCCTTCTAGTCTCTGCATATTGCAGTGTGCCCCTGGATGTCCTCATTTCTAAACAGCATGTTCCCCAGCAGTTTTGCACAGGGAGAGCATAAATCTTATTTTCAAGAAATGTCCTCAGGCAAACTTCAAGATTTTGCTCAGACCTTGGGTTCCCCAAGTCCTCTTTACTCTGCAGATGACGTTATTGATTAAGCCCTATGTAAGTTCCTCAGCCTAACTTCTCTTTGTACTTTCTCCATCACAAATTCTTACAGTCGCTGTCTTCTCTCTGAAAAAGGAGTTACCAACTTTTCTACTTGCATTCTTGTTATCTGCCCTTCTCACCACCTCTAGAATTTTGTTTCATTAACTACAATTTCCCTCTCCAAAATCTTCAATCTCCCCTCTGAACCTTAAATTGATCTCTTAAATGTGCATCTCTCATTTAGCAGGCACTGTGGTAGGCATGAGGGTGCAATTGTTAAGAACAACATAGTCACCACTGTCTCCATGTAACTACTGTTGTTTTGTACATAAAGGATTACTTGTTTTCATTTGAATCACTTAATATAAATTTCTAGGAGTGGAATTGCCAAGTCAAAGGGCAAGCTCATTATTTGTGATTATTAGTAGATTTTACCCAACTCCCTCCAAAAAAGTTTACCATGTTGCAAGCAGTCGTGAGTAGATTAGAGTACATGGCTTCCAGAGCCTTTTCTGTGGTTCTGTTTGATCTTTCAATCCTCTGTCACATTCCTATTCAAACACTTGCCAGATCTTTTAGATTTTATCACTATCCATGTGCCATGTCCACTCTTTTTATTTCTCACATGGTCTGTTACAGAAGTCCTCAACTGAGGGTGATTTTGCCTCTAGAGGGAACACTTTGCTTGTGGGGTAGGGGAGGGGAGATGTTACAACATCTAGCACAGCAATTTTCAACCTTTTTCATCTCACAGCACACATAAACTAATCACTAAAATTCTGCAGTACACCAAAAAATATATTTTTTTGCCAATCTGGATAAAAAAGGTATGATTTTTATTTATTCACACCAGACAGCTATTGTGTTGGCTGTTGTCATTTTTTTATTTGACAATCTAAGGGAAAAGAGGTCAGTGCCCCTGACTAAATAGTGTGGCACACCGCTTCAAAAATCACCGATCTACCAGATAGATGCCAGAGATGCTACTAAACAGCCACAATGCAAAAGACAACGCCTCCCCACAACAGATAATTATTGGAACCAAAATGTCCATAATGCTGAGGCTAAGAGACTCGGGTTTATTATGTCCACCTAAGAACGTCAAGCCTAAGGAAAAGTCTTGTAAGAGTTTATTTGAGCCAAATTTTCGGGACATGCCTGGAAGCAAGATCTCAACGGATTGAGAAAATGCTCTGGAGAATGGCAGTTTTGTAGCTTATTTTTATACATTAGAATTAAAGGAGGAGACTTAAGGATGGTATTATGATATCATTGGTGGTAAACTAAGGAGGCAGAAGAAACCAAAGCAGGGGAATCTCTAGGATTGGATAAAAAGCAAAATGGAGAAACACTTCTTTTACCTTGCTGGGTACAGGATAGGTAATAATTAACATTTATAGCACATAGTGATAGTATTTGGGGAACAAGATAACAATGAGGGGCTCTGTGGTCTCCTGCTCTGGTGCCAGCAGTTTTGCTTTCCAGGGGTAGGAAAAGAGAATTACTCCGACATATCAAAGTTTTGTTATCCTAGATACGTAAGAACTATGGACTGAGCTCACTTAAGGTGGATTAACCTTTGCTGAGAAAGCTACAGGCCTGGGACATGATATGTCCAGTTAGCAACTTATAATCAGATCATCCTGTGTGGTTGCTTTTGGACAGGTCTGCCACGTGCTCCCCCGGCCCTACTGCCCACTTGTCAAGTTTATTATGTAGCCTCTTTTTGTTCACAGTTATAAGTAGCCTCCCAACTAGTCTCTAATTTTAATCTCTCCCTAGCCAATTTATAAAGTAGCTACAACATTGATTTTCTCAAGTTGTGGCCCGAAATGTAACATCACCCTACTCAAAACCCATCTATGTTCCCTATCGACCAATCTAAGCCGTTCAGTTAGGTACTAAAGTCATGTGGTGTAACAGCTTCTTCAGCCACAACTCTGCTAGACATTACCTCTACAAGTTAGACTATTTGCTGTTCCTTGCTTATGTTCTCCTCCGTACATTTCATCATACTGTTCCCCTAAATGCTGTCTGACAATCATCTTTTGTCAAACCCTAATTAAAGTTCATTTCACATTCCATTTCCTCCCCAAAGTAACTCCCATCTCTCTAATCACAAGAGAACTTTGACCCTTTTACATGAGTTTAGCACATTGTGCCTCTTTTGGTGTATTTATATACCTGTCATATTCTTTTCTAAACTTCCTAGACTGTGAAATCATTCAAGGAGAGGATTTCCTTATGCCTTTTGCTCTTGTTTTTAGCACACTGCTTTTCACACAGAAGGTGCACAAGAAATGTTTATTGGGAAGCAGACCAACCAGAATTGAGTCCCTTTCACTCATTATATGTGGCATTAGCTCATTCAAGTTACTCTGTCAAAGCTCAGGAATCCTATCCGTAAAATGAAAATAATAATTGAACTTCTTTATAGGGTTGTTGTAAGGATAAAATAATGCATTTAAGTCATTTTGCACAAGGTCTGATATGAAGCTAAACACTTAAAATGGTAATAATAATTTGCTCTTACGGAGCAAAGCCCTGTATGACCTATGTAATGACTGGAGGCCACTGGCCTACTTCAAAGGAACTAGGAGTGGGGGAGGCAGAGAAGTTCTTGAATTGGGCAGGATGACAGAATGGGATAGGGAAATTAGAGTATTTTTACATATGCCCAGTGAAAGTTGAGTCACTGGGGACAATATCAGACAAGGCCATTGTGTGAGGTGTGGCTCTGCACAAAGTTACCTGGCCAGGAGCCAGAGTAGTGGCTGAAACCGTCTGACATTCTCCTTCCAAGTCTAGGGCTGCAGTGTCTAGAGGAAGGGACAGCCAGGGGAAGCCCCCTTCCTAATTGACACATTGGCTGTGTGTGTGCTGGCAAGGCCCAGATGTCAGATCCCCTGGGGAAGTGCTGAAGAAGGAGGCAGGCCAAGTTTGTCAATAGGCACTTTAATTGCCTGTTCAAAGAGATTGGTTTTCAATATACGATGGACACATTCTGCAGTGAAATGAGGGGCCGGAGGTCGGGGGTGATGTTGATGAGCTGTGTTTGTCTGCTTGCAAAGCTGAGGGACAGTCTGCTCAGCTAGAGGAAGGCTGTGAAGTTGCCTTTTCCACATCCTGGACAAATATCTCCCCTTCCCAGGCTTTTCTGTGACCTCATCCTTTTTTTCAACATTTTGTGATTTCCTCGAAGAATATTGTTACTGGCTGTTTCCTGGTTTCCCTTGTGACTGGGAGGTACCTTTTGGATCCTGACTTATCTTTAATTTTATCACTTTTCCTGTAGCTCTATTTAGTTCTTACAACAAAAACAGCTATTAATAACCATTTTCAGAAATATAACTTAAACTTAATGACATCAAATAATGTTCTTAATATATCAGGAGTGGGGAAAAACAGACAAAATAAGTAATACAGTAGGATTTCATGAGGGAGATACATATTTCACGTGTCAATGTGTATGTGTATATCTATCTATCCATTCATACGTAGATCCATTCATACTACTGAAAAGAGTTTGGAAGTCTTTACACTGCAGTATTTAGTGGTTATCTTTGGTGGTGGGATTCCAGGTGGTCTTTATTTTCTTCTTTTTTGCTTATTTTTATATTCTGGATTTTTCACATTGAACATGTATCACTTGTGCCATTAAAAATATGGGGTTTTTTAAACCACAAACTTCACTTTCCCTAACGTATCTTATTTTTCCTGATCTCTTATCATTGATTGCTTCGCTCTTCTGTTTTTTTTTAATCAATATAATTCTCTTAAAAAAAATAAAAGGAACTTGATGTTAAGATTATCACTGATCTTTTTACTATGTCTATAGTTTTGCATTTTCCAGAATGTCATATAATTAAAATCATATATTATATAGCCTTTCAGCCTTTCAACCTCCTTAAACACATTTAGCAATCAATATGTGTTTGAGGAGGTTTACCCATGTCTTTTTGTGACTCAGTAGCTCATTTATCTTTGACCACTATTCCATTGTGTAAATATACCACAGTTTGTTTTTCCATTCACCTATTGAAGGACATTTGGTTGCTTCTAATTTCTGGTGATTATGAATAAAGCTGCTATAAACATTCATGTGTAGGTCAAACTTACTTTTTATTATGACTTGATTTTTTCATTTCAAGTATAATATTCAAAGAGTATAATAAAAATAATTGATAAATAGAGGAATACCATCTTAAAAGTCAAAATTAAATGAAATGATCCATTATAATGGATTTATCTATTTTTTAAAAGCAGTGAAGCTCTGTCCATGTATTTCAGTTGGTTAGAACATCATCCCAATAAACCAAGATTGTGGGTTTGATCCCTGGTCAGGGCACATGCAACAATTACCCAATGAATGCATCAATAAGTGGAATGACAAATTGATGTTTCTCTTTGTTTCTCACTGTCTCTCTCTTTTCCTTTCTCTCTCTCTAAAATCAATAAATAAAAAAAATTTGAAGGAATGAAAAACAAGATAATAAATAATATAAGTTGGTTCTTATTACAAGGTCTGTCCCAAAAAGTCCAGCTATTGTTAATACAATTAAAACGGTTTGCGTGACATCGATGTAACCTGGAAGCCAAGGAGAGTGGACTGGAATGCACATGCATGAACAATAACAACTTCACTGTACTAGTCAGTGGGGGCAGTAGATGTCCTTGAGTGGGCATGTGTACTGTATGGCTGTTGCATTCAAAATAACTGAATGAGAAGAACAACGAATCTGCATCAGGTTTTGTGTTAAGCTTGAACATTTCTCTACAGAAACTATTCTGGTGATTCAGAAGGCTGCAGCTATGGGCAACTGGTGATTGGCAACTTCATTACAACACTGTGCCCACTCATGCATCACATCTTGTGCAGAGTTTTTTGGCAAAACATCAAATCACCCTGATGACAGACCTGCCTACAGCCCAGATTTGGCGCCCTGCGACTTCTGGGCTTTCCCAAAACTAAAGTCACCTGTGAAGGGGAAGAGATATCAGACCATTGATGAAGTTCAGGAAAATATGACGGAGCAGCTGATGGCGATTGGGAGAACTGTGTGAGGTCCCAAAGTGCCTGCTTTGAAGGGGACTGAGGCATCATTGTCCCAGGTACAATGTTTCTTGTATCTTCTTCAATAAATGTCTCTATTTTTCATACTACATGACTGGCTACCTTCTGGACAGACCTCATATTTAACTAGAAATAATGAAATATGTATCTGAAATTACGTTATTTTTGAAATAAGAAATATTAGCCTCCTGACTGGAACTGCCATCTTCCAGTAATTTGCCAAAATGTCTAACACAAAGGGAAGGAAGAGAGGCACCTGCTACATTCTCTAGGCCTTTTAGAAGACACAGAGTTGTTCCTTTGGGCACATATGTGCAAATCTACCAGAAAGGTGATATTGTTAACATCGAAGAAATGTGCACTGTTCAGAAAGGAATGCCTCACAAATGTTGCCATGCGAAACTGGAGGAGTATACAGTCTCACCCAGCATGCAGTGGGCATTGCTATAAATAACTAAGTTAAGGGCAACACTCTTGCCAAGAAATTAATGTACATATTGAACATATAAAGCATTCTATGATCTGAGATAACTTACTGAAACATGTGAAGTAAAATGATCAGTAAAAGAAGGAAGCCAAAGAGAAAGGTACCTGGGTTCAACTGAAGCACCAGCCTGCTCTACCCAGAGAATTACACTTCGTGAGAACCTATGGAAGGAGCCTGGGCTGCTGGAACCCATTCCCTGTGAGTTCATGGCATGATACATGTTAAAAAAAAAAAAAAGGCCTCTATACTGTTAAAAAAATTACTATAAGAGGCATGGTATTCTTTCTGCAAATGTGTGAGTGAGTATATATCAAAATCTGGTATTAGACTTTTGAGATTAATTAAAGAATAATCAAGTATAAAAAGCAGAAATAATTCCATTAAATTCATTAGACATCATAATAAAATTTTTCCTATTTATTTAACAAAAAAGGACGATATATATACACAAAGACAAACTCACTGTTTGTAGTACCACTATAGGCTTGCTTCCCTAAGTACACAATCTGATATATTCCATTTTGCCTGATTCCTATAAAAAAAGAAAAAAATATGGTCGATTTATTATGCTGCATTGTCAGGAAAGGTCTTTTTTGACAAGGCATTAAGTGAAAACTGAATTCTTTTATAATTTTATACATGTGATGATTAGAAGAATTTTCCATAAACTAACTTCTAGCCCCATACATTTCAAACCTTGTTTTTCGTCCATTACATTTCCTTCATTCAGTGTTAGGCACCATAGGACATATTCTTATCAAATTGTGGTCTGGCCCTTCATGTCACATCACCAGTTTAGTGGGCACTGTGGGCAGGAGTAGATTTCCTGCGAGACAATCTATGCCAGGATAACTAGGAGTAACCTACCTAGTTAGTAGGAGCGACACACCGTAATAGGCAGGACCCCTGCCCTGGGGGCTCAGCTTTGGAGGGCTCAGCTCCGACCTCTGCCCACAGGCCTACCCACAGAGCAAGGAGTCTACAGGACCAAATGGGCATGCCCTACTAGAGCCCACGCTCTGCCTTATGGACCGCACACACTGGGTACCCAAGACTCTGGAATTTTCTGCCCATTTGTAGGGTTTCAGTGGACTTGTGCCTTCCCAAGGGTGGCCAGCATTGCAAGCATGTGTACCCTTAGACTCAAGGGGTGGCCAACAGTGGTTTGGAGCAGTATGTGAACAGAACTTGAACATGCAGTCCGAAGTTTCCATGTGTGTATGTGAGGTTCTCACAGTGGGAAATGGAGCTGGGAATGGAAGGAGACGGGTGGACTGCAGGTCAGCTTTCCTGCACTGCTATGTTCTGGTTCCTTACCAAAGAATCTAAAAATTTCAAATGCAAACCTGGTCTCCTTGCCAAGGTAAGTGATAGAATGTATTTTACTTAAGTTTGTTAGCTTGACTTATGACATTTAAGTATGTGGTAAATGGGCTTCCATTTGCACTTTTGCCCTAAGCTGAGAATTCATTTGGGAATGAGGATATCCTTATTATTCTGTGGAGTAATATAGAAACCTGTTTCGATATCAGAACCATTTGGGCTCCTGGGGATGCTTTAATCTAGCTTTCACCCAGGTACAAGCTCAACCCTGGCCATCACTGCATTGGTTTATGGGGTTGAAGTAGAGCAGTGCTGAGTCGCCAGGGGCTGTTCACCATAAGTGAATCCATCTCCTCAACTCAATCCAGGAATAAGCCTTTTTAGTCTTAGATACAAGAGTGTCCCAGAGTTGCTGCTACTTCTGCATAATAATAAAGACATAGAAAACAGGCTAACCCCAAGGATCACCATGCAGACAGATGCTCAAGCCTTCTTGGGTGGGCAGTTCAGGAGTGTTCTCCCCATGAGGCTCCTGATTGGGGTCAAAGGAGGCAGGTCTTGAATACATAGATTCTATTTTCTTACTATAGAAGTTCATAGAGCTATTCTGATAAACCATGGATGAAGAGACTTTCTTTTTGAGTCTTCCATTCACAGGGGATCACATGTTTTGCATATGCACTCATGTGTTAATATTTCTCTTCAGCCTTTGAGGCCCCGCACACCAAATCCCTGGTCACAGAGTCCAGTCCTTGGCGTAAACACAAGAAGCAAAGGTCACTCATCACTTGTCAAAGATCTACGCACCACCCGGGAAAAAAGGATTGCAATGGGACCATTTGGATCTGACAGCCCAGGTTTCTAGCAGGCTAAATACTCAGAGATAAGGTTTCCCAGGGCCATATCCTCTTCATTTGAAAGGAAAAGCGATCATTTCAAGGATGAACCCTTCTCTTGCTCCACAACACAGATAGCAGTGAATCCAGTCATATTCTCTTTCATTGATGTATAATCTGTCACTATGCTTATAAATAAATATCTATTTAACAGTAGACTTGGTTTTTTAATACTCACTGTTTACACAGACAGTTAAAGACATCACATTAGGTGATAGAGCACCTTTTCCCATACCCCAAAAAAGCCATACTAAATAGAGGTCACAGCTCCAAATTTTACTAGAGTAGAAATGCTGAAATATACAGCATCTATTACAGGCTAGATAAAGAGCTTTCTGAAACCCAAACTAGAATCCCATTTGTTTAGGAAAGAAACATCTTTGGTGATTTTTTTGGTGGGGGGAGGGCAGTGGTGGGGAGTTATCTGCAAGTCTAATCTTATTCTGGAGCAGGTTCTTTAAATGTAGTTCACGAGCAATGAGGAAGCGATGTCATTGGACTATTACAAGGAAACCAAGCCAGCACAGTCATTTCCCCCTCATACTGTGTAGGTGGGTGGTGAATACTTTTAGATCCCTCAGAAGCATTGCTGCAGTTTCATAAGGCCAATTAGCGATTCTTACAAGCCTCAATGCACTGAATGCTCACATGATTTGGGCAGCAGAAAAAGTTGCAATCTCTATCTGTGTCATAAGATGGGACTCTGTAAGAGCGCATGATACCCAAAAAATTGCCATAGAAAAGGAGAGACCCAGAATTCAAAGTACTGTGAATCCAGGTTTCCTTCCTAAATACTGATTGTTGTTTACACCCTAAAAAGCTTTGGGACATTCAATGGTTAAAATAAGGCAATATGGATCTTTCTCTCCCTTTTTCTTCCCTCAATCACATCCTCTCTTTCAGTAGCACTGTTAACATCAGAAATATGGAAAAGCAATATTCCGAACCCCTAGCAGCAATGGAACATGAGGGGAAAAGAGTATTGTGGGCTATCAGTTAACTGCATAACAGAAAACCTTACCTTTTCCTCACTCATGTAACCCATGTTTTTATTGATTAGTTTACACATCCCTTCCAAGTGGAATTGTAATCCAAAAAGCACCATCACATAGTTCAAAGTTATTCCCACATCTGTCAAACCCGAGGATTCTGGGATCTGGCTATCATGAGGCCTTCGAGACAATAAGTAATTCTGTATGAGTACTTTCTCTGCCCCTCGATCTTTGACTTTGTCCTTTTGTAGTGAATGGGCTTTATTGTGCACTCTGCATAGCTGGCAAGAACAAGAGAGCAGAACTGAACCCCGTTAGTCAGCAAGGCCAAACAGAGGGTCTTTTAGGCTGTCAGCACTGTGGGAGATGTAGCAGCCACAGAAGAAATGGCCCTTGTCCTCAAGGAGTTTACAAGGGGTTTTCGAAGACACACATTAAGAACCTTTCAAAGACAATACGCTTCATCTAGTAGGAATTGTGTGGCCCACAGAACATGTGCTGTGGGAGTCCTTGTGAAGGCAGCGCTCTGGAGTGCTGGAGTAGTTACGGAGCTGCGGAACTTGCTTGGATCTCAGAGACTGCATAACACTTAGGTAGGCCGAGGGGAGGAGCAAAGATCTACCAGGTGAAGGGAAAGATAGGAGGAAAGGTTGGAGGAAGGAATGAGCTTGGCACAGGTCTGTGATACTTCCCTTTCCCTGTATATTTCCAAATTGGTTGACTTTTTACTTCACAATAGAGAAGCTGAGTAACAATTCTCCTTACCTAATCCATTCATATTAACAAAATGATAAATTACTGCAGGAGTTCCACAAATCCTTTAAAAAAAGCCTTGCCTGTTTTCCTGACAGGCATTTATAGGAGCTTCTCTTCTCACAAAGAATGTCTCAGTTGTTTCTTCCTTTTGCTCCTCTTTTCTTCTTGCCCTTTCTTCTGCCACGGACAGTCATCAGCGTCACTGGAAGCTCCTGTTTGGCCCCAAGAGAAGCACTGCTGACCTTCTCTTGGGCAAGACATAGAGAACATTTCCATTTTCAACTGAGAGTCATGTCTTTACTGGTTGACATACCTCATCTGAGTTAGCATCCATCAGTGAACTACATCCACAGAAGTCTTCCTGACCAGACGAAGGGGGTGTGGGTCAGAAGAAAAGCATCTGTGTTAGAATTTATTCTCTCCCTTCTTACAACCTCCTCTTGGTCCTCACTAATCCTCCCACCCTACCCCATCATTTTTTAAAAGTTACAGTTGACATACAGTATTAGTGTCAGGTATACACAGCAACATGGTTAGGCATTTATCTAACTTATGATACATCCCACCAATAAGTCTAGTGCCTACCTGACATCATACATAAAATAATTATTGCAATTTTATTGACTATATTCCCTATGCTGCTCTTTACATCCTTGTGACTATTCTGTAACTATCAATTTGTACTTCTTAGTCCCATCACCTTTTTCGCTTAGCACTCTAACCCCTCTCTACTCTGGCAACCATCAGTCTGTTCTCTGAATCCATTTCTTGATGATCTGCACTGTCAGCAAATAGTTACCAAATGCTTGTATTTACTTATCATGGATATACCAGGAAGTATACAACAGTTTTTCTGATTTTGAGGAGTTTGTTCTCTAGTTGGATAGAATGGGTTCATTTGTTGGTGGCAACATCAGAACCTCTGAAAGGTCAAGAGTAAGCTGGACACTCTGCCTTTTTTGAGACTCAGCTATATTTTTAAAAATGAAGTGCCCAAATTGAATTTTTAAAAATGGTAGATTTTTAATGTATACATTTAACATTGTTTTTAACACAAAAATTACAATGACTAACTTTTAAATGATGTCAAAAATCTAAATTGATATAAATGCCCATAGCATTATTTATAATAGCCAAGAAGTAGAACCAACCCAAATATCCATCAATTGATGGATGAATAAATAAAATTTGGTTGTATCCATACAATGAAATATTATTTGTCAATTAAAAAGAAATGAAGTACTGACACATGCTGCAACACAGCTAAACCTTGAAAACATTAGGTTAAATGAAGGAAGCCAGTTAAAAAAGACCAAATATTGTATGATTTCATTTACATAAAACTTCCAGAATAAACAAATTTATAGAGACAGAAAGTAGATTAGTGGTTGGTTGGGGCTGGGAGAGATGGGGACTGGAGAGGAGGTTATGGAGAAGGGGGATGGGAATTGACTGCTCATGGGGCTCCCTGGGGGGAGCAGATATATTCTAAAGTTAGATTGTGGTGATGGTGGTACAACCCCGTGAGTATACAAAATACCCTGCATTGTACACTTTAAATGGGTGAATTGTATGGTATGTTAACTATATCTTGATAAAGTTGTTTTTTGAAAGTCTACATTGAACGCCTTTCATGGCCACGTGCAGGGCGCCAGGCAGTGTGGTGTAGTGGACAGAATCCCTGTTTGGAAGTCAAACACACCTAAATACAAATATTCTACTACTTATCAGCTATGTGACTCCATGTAATTTACTTAAATTCTGTGAGATTTCTTTTATTCGCTGCAGAATGAAGATAATAATTCCTAAGTCATAGGACTGTTTTTGAGTAACATCAATTCAAAAAATACTTATTGAACAGTTATTGTGTTCCAGGCACTGTTCTAGGCTCTGGGGATATTGCTATATCTGGCAATATAGCAGTGACCAGAACATCCAAGGATCTACATTGTATCTCACTAAAAAAGAAATCAAGATCTTTACATGAGATCTCTCCAATGTTAAGGTATTAGAAATTAATTTCAAAATAATAAAAACACTGTAAGCTGCCCTGGCCAGCAATGCTTAATTGATTAGAGCACTTGTTGTGGGTTCGATTCCCAGTCAGGGCACATACCTAGGTTGTCGATCCCATCCCTGGTCCAGGTGTGTATGGGAGTCAACCAATTAATGTTTCTCTCTTGCATTGATGTTTCTTTCCCTCTTTCTTTAAAAACAATGAAAAAAATGTCCTCAACTGAGGATTAAAAAAAACAAACAAACCCACTGTAAGCCAACACAGTGCCAAAAACATGTGTGAGCCAAATTTTGACCTTGGGCTGGCAGTTTGTGAGCTCTGATTTAGGTTTTTCAGATGGTAAGTTTCTGGTATATTGTCCATTTGGCTGAACCTTGGCATCCTCAGCATGCTCCCATATGCTGTCCAACACTAACCAAAGAAACATTCCTTATAAAATTCAGGGAAATCATCCTAGCAAGTAATTGTGCCAGGCAATGGCGTGGATCCCATCCGTCTCTGTAAGATGCCGCAGCCTTCCACACAGACCCAAGAGGCCCCATTCACTTTCTGCCTGGGCTGAGCTGGCAGTTTGTACAGGATGGGTTTGGAAGAGACTTGTGCTTCTCATGCCTTTCAAGATCATCTGCCCTCTGAGAACTTCTGTGGGAGGCCAGTTCAGGACACAGTCTCAGATGTTAGAATTTAGACACATTCATTTTTCTTTACCTGCTCATACTTCAACTGGTTCCGGCCAAAAATGTAAGTGTTCAGTAGCAGTATAGACAGCTCTTTTCTGGAACTCAAAAATGGATGATTAATGTTTTAATTCTCTAACATATCCATGATCTCAGAAAAGAAAACATAGGTTTTAAATTTACCTTATAGCTATTCAGTTCAGAGTCAAACAAACATATTGCTCATTTACCCATCAACAGAGCAGTCGAGTTTAAAGCCCTGGGGTGGGGGGAGCATCTAGAGAGAGGATTCATTGGATCATACTATCCCATCAACATCAGACTTGTTTGGAGTGTTTCACCACATAGCATCATGGTGTTCTCTACAGCCTCTGAGTCTGAGACTCGCACTCACGGTGGAGTACATCAGACTTCCAAAAGCCTCTTGCATCAAATGTGATGTAGCAGAAAAATGGTAAACTCAAGCTCAAGTCTCCTTCTGCTACTGATAACTATGTGACTGTACAAATTATCATTTTGAATTTTAC